TGGGAGCCCACAGATTCGGAGAGGAAGTCGGGCAGCCAGCCACTGGGAAGACGGAGGGGATCCTCCTGCGATGCCCTTGGTGGCCTGAAGCCCAGACCAGACATCAGGGAGGGGGCCGGCCGGCCTGGCTTGGGTGACCTCTGAGCCCCAGGGATCCTGTGAGGGCGAGGGGCTGCTCCGAGGAGGGATGAGCCGGCGTGTTTGGAAATCTTCAGAAACTCTTTTCTAAAGTGTCATTGTTTCCGTTATGGAAGATACTTCCTTTGCATCGTGAGGCCAGACCCCCCCCCCAGGTCCTTTCAGACAGAGGCAGTGTGTCCTCGGGGCTCTAGGCCGAGTGTGAGGCGTTTGGTTGGCAGCGGGGTTTCGTGGTTCACAACCGGGCTGTAGGTCTTCACAGCCGCTCTGCCTTCCCCCGGAGGACTGGCCATCGTGGCGTCAGGGGTTCGGCCAGCAACTGAGCCCCCTGTCGCTCTCGCAGCACCTGTGCCTGCGTGGAGTACTATGGGAAGGCCCTGGAGGCGCTGGTGCAGGGTGTGGAGATCATGTGCATCCACGGGAAGATGAAGTACAAGCGCAACAAGATCTTCATGGGCTTCCGCAAACTGCAGAGGTGAGGCCTCTCGGAGACGGAGCACTTCCGCCTGCCGCCCAATTTTGCGCCCCTCCGCCCTGCAGCTTCGAGGGTGGGGGTCTCTGCTGGAGTGCGGCCCCCTTTTCCCCCGCCCACGTCTCCTCTGTGGGCCTGCCCCGCCCATCCCTCTGCCCTAGCCTCATCACGCTTCTGACTTCCTTGGCTACCTGTCGACCCCCCTGTGAGGTTGTGGGCTCCACGGGAACAGGCACCTGTGTGTCGTGGAGTCCATGCCTGAGTTCCTGGGCCCTGGCCACTGGGGTCTGGTAACTGCCTGGCGAGGGGCGAACGGGGGCGTGGAGCAGGGCATTGCACCCAGCCTGCAGGTTGTCGAGCAGTGACGACAGGGGCAGCGTGTCTCTCAGGGACCATGACTTGATTCTGTTTGTGCACGGAATGATCCTTGTCTGCTTTTCTTTTTTTTTTTTTTTAGAATTTTTGTAAGTTTATTTGAGCCAAACTGATGACATGCAGTTAAAAGCATGTGTTTGGGTGAAGTGACGAAACCGACTGCCATGCCTCAGTCAGGGACAGAGCATTTCACTTGCTTTTTTAACGGCTGTACAGGGCCAGGCCCTCTGCAGTCTCTTTTCAAGCGGGAGAACACAAAACTTGGAGGCCCTTTCTGCCCCTCCCCACGTCCTGTGTTTGCTGGGGATTCTGAAGCCCTGGGGAGTCTCGGGGGAGAACAAACGAAGACGTTCTTGCTAAGCGTTTGCTTCAGGGAGCGCTCCTGGCACCTGTCACTGCTGTCTCTGCTGAGCTGGGTGGCGTCTGCTGGGTGGGGACGGAAGTGTGGCCCCCACCCCGTGACGGCGTCTCCCCCCTTCCCAGCGGGATTTTAGTGTGCACCGACGTGATGGCCCGAGGCATAGACATTCCCGAGGTGAACTGGGTGCTGCAGTACGACCCTCCCAGCAGCGCAAGGTACCGTGTGGCAGGACGTCCCCGTCTGGGGGTCTGGCCTGGAAATGCGGATCTCCCGGGGGAGACAAAATGACCGCCAGACACGGTCACAGACAGCAAAAGTAGGTGGGTGGGTTGTGTCCGTGTGCGCAGTGACAGGTACTCTCAAAGCCTCCTGCGGTTCTTGCACAAACACACGTGCTGGAACGTTTGAAGGACGCCAGCGCATCATAACGCATGTGCAGACTTCAGGGACTCTCCCCAAGTGTCGGTGATAAATGCTCCCAAACATCAGAAGGGCCTGTGACTGTCAACTCCTGAGTAATACTAAGGGGCGCTTCTTGGTAGAAAGTCTACAGGTCATTTTTCTTTTTTTTTAAATTATCTTCCAAGGATATGCTTACTGATTTTAGAGAGACGGGAAGGGTGGGAGAAAGGAGGAGAGACACGGGTGTGAGGGAGAAACGTCGGTTGGCCGTGTCTCACACGCGCCCCCTCTGGGGGCCGAACCTGCACCCGAGGCATGTGCCCTGACCGGGATTCGGGCCCAGGATCCCTGCGTCTACAGGACGCTGCCCAGCCAACTGGACCACACCAGTCAGGGCGGTTTTCTTTGTGACGCTTTGACGGTTTCCCAGAGTTTCTGCTGGGACCGTGTCCTGCCCTGCCACTGGGGAGCATCAGTTTAAAGCCCACCTTGAGCGTCTTACAGAACCACAGCTGGTTCGCAGCCCAGCTCTCCTGTCCCGACACCGGTCGGCCGCGGAGCGGGGACTGAGCTGCGGGCGGGCGGCCCCGGGCCTGCGCCGCTCAGCCACCGCCACACGGTGCTCCTGTCCCCACCCTGTGTCCACAGTGCCTTTGTGCATCGCTGCGGCCGCACGGCCCGCATCGGCCATGGGGGCAGCGCGCTGGTGCTCCTCCTTCCCATGGAAGAATCCTACGTCAGCTTCCTCGCCATCAACCAGAAAGTAAGCCGCCTGCGCTCGCCACACAGGGTGCCCGGGGCGGGGCGGCGGGCAGAGTCCTTTCCAGCAAGTGGTCTGGGACTCAGGCCGGGCGTGGCAGCCTCCCAGGGCCAGGCCGGCGACATCGCTGCGGGACGTCACCCAGGGTGGCAGCTGCCACTCGTCCCCAGCTGACTGTCCCTGGTGGACACTCGTGGGAATGCGGACTTGATGTGCCTATTTCCCAAACTGAAGTCGGGATTGTTAAGTAAAGCCTAATTTTAAGATTTTCTTTAGAATTTAAAAAATGCTTTTGGACTAAGTAAAACACTTGGGCTGGCTCGGGGCCTGTGACGGGTTCAGATGAACCCCTCTCTCTGCTTCTGGTTTTTCAGGCTCGGGCTCTGGGGGGACCGTGGGGAGGGGACTGAGCGTGGCCTCTGTGCAGTGCCCCCTGCAGGAGATGGCGCTGCAGAAGGACACGGCGGACCTCCTCCCCACGCTCAGGGCCATGGCCCTGGCCGACAGGGCCGTCTTCGAGAAGGGCGTCCGGGCGTTCGTGTCGCACGTGCAGGCTTACGCGAAGCACGAGTGCAGCCTCATCTTCAGGCTGAAGGGTAAGCCTGGCCCGTGGGCTGGCGTCCCCGTCGGGAGCAGGTGTCTCGGCATGAAGCTGCTTGCCTGCAGAAACGTCGGGCTGTGTTAGGGTTCCTGTGCTGTAAACATTCGACAGGAAGTCCCGGGGTGTGAGTAGACAGAGGGGACTCACTGCCGAGTGTTCCTCTTTAGTAAAAACGTAGTTGTCTGAAGTCCCACTACAACGAATCTGGGAGATCGTGTGGTTAGAGAACTGTCTTGCTGGGACCCCACCTTGGGCGCGCTCACTCTGCCGGCCCGGCCCCCAGATCTGGACTTCGCGGCGCTCGCCCGAGGCTTCGCCCTGCTGAAGATGCCCAGGATGCCGGAGCTGAGGGGAAGGCAGTTCCCTGACTTCGTGCCTGTGGACGTCGACACAGACGCGATCCCGTTCAAAGACAAGGTCAGAGAGAAGCAGAGGCAGAAACTGCTGGAGCAGCAGAGAAAGGGACCAACAGAAAACAGAGGGAGGAGAAAATTCGTGAAAAACAAAGCGTGGTCGAAGCAGAAGGCCAGAAAGGAAAAGAGGAGGAAGAGCGCGAAAAGGAGACGGGGCGAGGTGAGGCTCTCGGGTTCAGTGCTCACGCACCCCCTCGGACCCGGGTTTGCTGGAGGGGCGCCTTCTAGTGTTTGGGCAGGGGCTCGCAGGAATGTGCCTTGTCCCTGGGGGGGAGGTTGCTGGGAAATCAGGGCGTGTTGCTGTGTGTGCACCCAGGGTTCGGACGTCGACGACGAGGACATGGAGGAGCTTCTCAGCGACACGAGGCTCCTCAAGAAGCTTAGAAAGGGCAAGATCACGGAGGAGGAGTTTGAGAAGGGGTTGCTGACCGGGGTCAAAGGGCCGATCCAGATGGCAGCAGACCTGGGCACCTCGGACGTGGAGGACGGCTGATCCCCGGGCTGCGTGCCAGACGGCGTGTGCTGGCGTCCCCACGACCAGAGCCCGGCTGACCTGCTGGAAGCACCGAACGCTGTCGTTTCAGCCTGGGGAGGGCAGGGCTTTCACCTCATGAACGTTTTATAAAAACTGCTGGCTTTGAAGTCCAGCAGATGTAAAATTGAGTGTAAATAGTAGACATCAATATTTATTTCGACGGGTCACCTGTAATTACAGAGCTCATTTTTCTGGGCTTATTTTGTACTTGTTTCTAACGTACAGACACTGAAGTACACTTGACTTCAGGCACCTGACCTTGGCGTATGTGGCACAGCCAGGGTCCTCCTTTCCTGAGAACGGCCCCTGGGGCTCTTACTGGGGAGCGTGTGACAACCTGAGGGGGTGAGTCAGGGTCCGGCACAGAGCACCGTTACGCCTTCTGTCCAATAAAGTGTATTTCCTTCTAATCCAGGGTGTCCTGAGTGAGCGCGGCTGCAGGGCCCTCCCCCTGAGGGCCTGGGGCCAGTGTGCAGCCCAACGCGAAATTGTATCAAACTCTTTCGTGCCGTTTATTTGAAAAGGTGCTGCACTTGTTCCCAGATACGATTTTCCCCAGTTGCCCAGGTCCCGACCGAGTTGAGGTTCCTTCAGAGACACAGGCCTGACAGACATCCGGGTTGTGACGGGCCGTGTGGGAGGCCCACGCTCCCTACCCACAGGGAGCCCGATGCTGGCTGCGCAGGAGTGCACCGCCCTCCCTCCACGCACCACAGGTGATGTGGGGCCTGGGTGGTCCTTCGCTCCCGCAGGGGCGCTGCAGGGGAGCGCCCCCTCGGTCAGGCGGGCATCTCCGCAGTGGCTGCTGTTGGCAAACAGGCCTGTAGTGCTGCGGCGGGTGGGGGTGGGGGGGACGCGGGCTCAGCTTTCATTGGTTAAGTAGCCAATAATTTTAACATATTTCTGGAAACAGAAAATGAAAAAAGTACCTGGAAACCGTCAGTACAAGTTAGGTTGAGTTTTTGGGGAACCATGAACATGTGTAAATGAGATTGAAATGGAAACAAAGTTCACCAAAACTTCGATTTTAAGTCCTTAGTCCACAAATCTTCATTAAGTAAATAATCTCATCTTGGCTTGGCTCACAGGGTCAGGAGGCCCCTCCCCCTGCTCTGCTGCATCTTCCGCCTGCGCAGAGGGTCCCTGGCTACAGGTACAGCTTGATGAGCTCGTCGCTGACGGCGGAGGGCGTCAGCACGCCCAGGTCCGTGAACAGCAGTGTGATTAAGGAGGGGGAGGTGTAGTCGACCCACGGGTGTTCCTCTCGGAGATCCTGCCCCTTCTGCGCCGACAGCAGAGTAGCTGCCTTGTACTGAGGAGGCACGAAGCACAGGTTAGTCTGCCCCCAGACTCGGGATCGCCCGGTGAGCCCTGCCCGAGCAGGTAGCGTGCGGCCCCCTGAGCACGCCCCGTGTTCTGGGTGGGTCACGCCAGGGTGGCCCGCTGGCCACAGAGCCCACACCGGTGTCCCCTCGATAGCGAGCAGCCTCCCCAGGTAACAGCGTGGACAGAGTATACCACGTGCCAGGCACCACACGAAGCCCTTCCCATGACCCTCACAACCCTCATAGGACTGTTTTCCCAATGCACAGAGGCCTGAGGTTCCCGCTGAAGAGGAAGGAAGGAAGGGCCGTGCTGAGGGCGCGGGGTCAGTAAGTGGCGGGGAGGGAGGGAGTCCAGACAGTTGAGGCCTAAGCTAGCACTGGTCCCCGACAGCCCCCCTGCCCCCGCAGCCCGCATGCACCCAGCGCTGCAAGCAGTGCAGGACTAGAAGACTGCTATTTGGGGGCACGTTGGCCCCTGTGAGTCTCACCACCCACAGCTTATCTTTGTAGCCCCCGTGTGGGAGGAGATGGCCGTAAGAAGGGAGTAACTTACTGAAACATTCTTAGTATCTTTTCAAAGGTTTCAGTTTTGATGCAGATACCCCTTCAAACATGTAAAACTCTTGCCTTAAACTTATCCGGGACGTCTTGCTGGTTTAGTGGGAAGAGCCGCACAAACTTGAAACTTTCCGCAACCACGTAAAACGGCTTGTTCTGTGCTTTGGCGCAGACGGCCATCTGGTTGGTTCCAATCTGGGGGTCAGAGATCAGAAGGAGGAGACAGGTGAGAAGTCCCAGCACTTGCAGGTAGAAGCAGCAGAAAGTATGAGTGAACAAAACAGATGTAACTCTGACTCAGGAACTGGTCAGGATCTTTTAAGAAAGACAATGGCATAGACAGTTTCCCACAGATACACAAGCAGGCGATGAACTCAGGAAACGAAGCTCAGGATCCTTGGGAGGGAAATGCAGGTCAAAACCACAGTGAAATGCGGCCTCACACCTACTCGATGGCTATGGCAGCTTTTGGGGGGAAGAGGCCGAGACATCGGAATTGCACTGCTGGTGGGAACGACACTGGCGAGGCCGCTGTGGCCACAGTGGCGGTTCCTCAAAGGGCTAAACAGAACCACCAGAAGCACCACGTGAACCACCAGGGCCACTCAGGGGCGCACTGCAGAGAATTGGAACCGGGACCTCAGCCGGGTGCCTGTACACCCACATTCGTAGCTGCATCACAACAGCCAAAAAGTGTCCGCTCCGTCCATCGGTGGATGAATCGACAGAAGAGATGCCGGCCAGGACTCAGCCACGAGAAAGCAGGAAGCGCCGGCCCACGCTGCAGCCTGTACGGGCTTTGCAAACAGTAGGGGAGGTAAAGTGAGCCAAACTCCAGGGAGAAACGCTGTGATTCTGCTCCCGCGACACGAGGTGCCCGGAACAGGCAGGCATCACGGAGGCAGAGAGACTGGGAGACGTGGGCAGGTGTGGTGAGCCCTGCCCGCAGGCAGAGGCAGGCAAAGGTCTCAGAAACGATGCGCTGCCATGACGACGGGGCTGTGATGGACACCACTCAACTGTGCACCGGAAACTGGTGAGGGTGGCGGGTTTCAGGCAATGCGGACTTCAACACAAACACAGAAACTGAACTACCGGGAAATATGTCCAAGTTACACAATGGAGAATTCTAATACAGTTTGTTGATGTGAAGTGTGCCTAATTAAAAACCAATAAAAAAACCCAATTTCAGTTAAAACATGCTTTGAGACAATATAAATTACATTCTCCTAATTCACATAGCTCAGTCTCCAAAGCAGAGTGGAATTTGACCAAAACGGGACTGACCACTGCAGTGGCTTCTGGGACTCGGGAAGCAAGTCACCGCGCTGCGCAGGGTCAGGCGGCCGAGCCCCAGCTGGTGGCCCGCACAGGGGGCTGGCCCACGGGGCCTCTGTGGCCCGGGACGAGGGACTGCGGGCAGCTGAGGCTCCTACCTTGTTGATGATGCCGCCATTTTCAACAACTCCTTCAGCACCGACTATGACAAGATCCACTCTCTCCATGACATAGCTGCAGGAGTTAAGGAAAAAAGGTTTATGCTCGTTTCCCGGCTCTTGTTAGCTGCGCGGCCACCTGCAGAGGTTCACATTCCTTTGTCTCCATGGTAAGTTACTCTTGCAACTTTCTTCCCAGGAGCACTTTGCACGTGAAACAGCCCCTGGCACTGCTGCCATTTCTGCTGCCCGGGTGTTAGAGCCCGCCAGCTCATGGTCACGTATCACACTGCACCCAGCGCCTGCACGCACACGTGCGTGCCTGAAGCAAGACTTTCAAGACCTGTGACTGATCTTAACACGTGTGGCGCGCAGTTCCCGTTCTGCCTCCGTACCCACAAAACGGAAATTTAAAGACTTGATGTGAGGTCAGAAGATGTTCTGTAATTCAGGCATCTTTCAGATAGGGGGAATGGCAATTTACCTTAAAAAATTTTTTTAAAAATTTATTTTCAGAGAGAAGGGAAAGGAGGGAGAGAAACACAGATCAGTTGCCTGCCACTCGCCCCCAACCAGAGACCTGGCCCAGGCAAGTGCGGAGACTGGCAATGGCACCGGTGAGCTGTCAGCTCAGGGACGATGCTCAGCCCACTGGGCCGCACCGCTCAGGCCCGGTTCGCCTGGCACAGCGAGCCGCTGGTGGCGTTCTGCGAAACGCTCTGCAAAGCGCGCACTTCCCGGTACAGCCCTCATTTCGTTTGTCAGCCTCGTGCACTTTCTCTGTGAGAGACAGTTACTCCTGTCTCCTCTCTGAGGGTCACCCACATGCGACCTGGGTGCGAAGAACCCCAGTGGCACTGAGGACACCTGTGTCTTCAGATGAGGCAGCACTGACCACAGGTGCTGACCACACCCTGACCCTGACACCTTGCTCTTGTGATGCCCTGTAATGCTGTGTAAATGACTTTCATCCCCGCATCCCGCAGCTGCCTGCTGGGACCAACGTCACGACCCTGTGAGGGCCCCGGCTGGTGTAGCTCAGTGGACCGAGCACCGGCCTGCGAACCAGGACGCTGTGGGTTCTATTCCCAGTCAGGGCATGTGCGGGGGCTGTGGGCCAGGTCCCCGCTAGGGTATGTGAGAGGCAGCCGATCCATGGGTCTCTCTCACACTGATGTTTTTCTCCCTCTTTCTCCCTCCCTTCCTCTCTCTCTAAAAATACATACATCAAATCTTAGGAAAAAACAGACCCTGTGATGAGCTGCTGGGTAATGCAGCTGTTAATTAGGAGGCGGGCGCTGCCCAGTGCAGGTTGATGCGTGGGACGCACACCTTCGGTCTGGAAACCCTGCCCCACGCCGACCCCGGGAGTGGGTGGGGAGGAGACACTGTGTCTGGGGAGGCTGGGCGCTTACCCAACAGCGGCATCCAGGACCACGGTGACAGGGACATTGAGCTGGCAGAGGGCTTTGGCCATTTTCTTACTGAAAACGACATTTTGAAAACATTAGAGAAAATCCAGGAAAGTCCCAATGCAGTGTATAACGCAGAGTATCATTTAAATGCCCACGATAAACCAGGCCAGCCTGAAACTCCGTTGGCATTCACGGACTGAGGACAGACCCCTGGACCTCGGACCCCAGAAGCGAGGGTCTGGGTTCTTTAGAAGCGTGTGTTTCAGGGGAACAATGATTCCCCTGGGGACTATGATGGGTAAGACGTGCAAATCCAGAAGAAAGGAGAAAGTTATTCTTTCATTATCTTCTGAGTAGATGAGACATGAACTGTCTACTCTTTGTTAAAAAATATCACTGCTCCTCTGGCTTCACCTCGAACAAAAGCCCCTGGGTCCTGCACAGTGACCCGCCATGAAGCCACAGGGACAGGCAAACCGGGGCGCGCTCTGGCCCCTCTCACGACAGCCGTGGGGCACAGCCCCAGGTGGAAAGGTACTTGCCCGGAGAGGTCAGGCTGGGACTCCGTGACGTACACACTGAAGCGCTTCTTGGCCGCCACAGCCGCTGCCAGGACCCTCAGCACCACTCGGGAGCAGGCGTGGGTGAGTATTGTCTGTGGGCCGAGAGCGCTCCATCAAAGGGCCGGCCTCCGACCACCCCCGTGCCCTGCCGCTGCAGTGCGTCCCGGGCCCTATGGCTCCCCTTGTGCTTTCTGACAAATCAGCTGCAGACACGAGGGAAGTCCCTGATGCCGCGCCGAGTCTGAAGCCCACGCACACGTGCAGAGAGGCTTCTGCCAGAGGAGTGGGTGAGGGCCTCCTCTCCCAGCACGTATGAAAGTGGAACCCCCACAGGGGACGGAAGCCTTTCTACTTGAGGGCTCCGCTGGACTCCTTGGGGTTGGCGTCCCTGGTTCTGAGCCACGGTGTGAGCACCGGGCAGAGTGCCAACATCTGCTGTGGGCCGGGAGGGGCTGCGCTCCAGCTGTCACCGTGGTCCCACAGATGCCACACCATCTGGTGTTTCTAGAGGACAACGTGGGACGATGGACGTAGCTCCTGAGCTGCTTTCTGGCCTGAGAGCTGGTGGGAAATGCAGGTTCTCAGGCCCTGCCCCAGACCCGCCGAGTCAGAATCACATTTACTAAGACCCCAGGCGGTTCCCCTGCACACTGACATTTGAGCGGCTGCTCTGAGTTGGGTCTCAGTCGGTGCCGATGCAGGTGGGTGTCACACACTGAATTATACAAGAAACCCCCCCAGTGTCCACAGCGCAGCACATGGGCCAGAAGGGGAAGGCCGAGGCCACTGATGGGGCAGTTGTTGTCTTGCTCCGACTTGGCTGACGTGGCCGTGTCGGCACCTGGCTTTTGTACAAGTCCCGCTCCCGTCCCTCATGCCACTTATTTAACAACACGCTTCAAAGGCTGGGAAGAGGCAATAAAACAGGACCAGACTTCAGAGTCAAAATGCACATAAATAATTTTATGGCCAGTGGAAGTCTGACGGCAGGAAGGAGGCAGGCGGTGGGAGAGGCGTCATGGAAGGTTTCGGGGCCCTGCGCGGGGGACTGACGTGACCTGCACCTCCTGTCCCCGTCCCCCCCCCTTCGTCAACACCTGGCAGCTTCATCCTCTGCCATAGCACATGAGAGGAAGTTGAAAAGAAAACCTCCAGCCAGAGCCCACCTCCACCAGGCAGACAGACAGCATTAACCAGGGACAGGAGCTGTTCTCTGTCCACCTGACGGATCACACTAACTTAGTGCTCACCCAATAAAAATGCTTTCTTAGTCAGACATCTTGTTAGATCAAGCGTCACCCATGCTGTCCCCGTGTTTTCTCTGCCTGTTTAAAACGACAACTATGATACTAACACCTACATTTACACAGTGCCTGCTGGGTGCCAGACCTAGTGCCGAGTCCTTACCCGCCACCTCACCACCACCCAGTGAGGTGGATGCTATTATGCTGCTTAGGTAGCAGAGGAGTAAAGTGCAGCTCAGAGAGGTTAAGTAACCTGTCCCAGGTTACACAGCAGGTAATGGCAGAGGTAGCATTTTACCCCGGGGGTCTGACTGCGGAGTCCCGGCTCCCGTCAGCGCACGCACGGAGACCTACTCACCGCCCCGTCTTTGATGAAAGTGTGGCACAGATCCGCAATCTTACTTCTTGACAGTGATATTCTCCTGAGAAAAAGCTCTCCCCGCTCAATCATGACCTCTTTACATTTGGAGAAATCCTAGGAAGAGGAGAGCACAGTGAGGGCCCGGGGAAGACACAGGTGAAGGCAGCGACGTGGGCAGGGGACCCAAGCGGGCAGGGCTTACAGAGTGCTCCAGGGAGGTGAGGCTGATGAAGCGCAGGAAGAGCTCCCCGCCCGAGGACACGGCCACCGAGGAGTCCACGCCACACAGGGTCTCGATGGCTCTGGTGAGGTTCGCTCTCAGGCCCTGGATCGTCTCCCCTGCATGGACCACATGGGCGACATGACGTGTGTCTTAGTGCTGCAGCCCCTGGGTGGGGCTGCAGTTCGTGCCGCTGGGACTTGCCGGGCACACGCTGGGTGCCAGGCACTGTTCTAGACACATCAGTGAGCAAGAGACGGGGCCCCAAGCGCCGAGGGTGCGCCCTTTCCAGTGGAAGAGGAAGACAGTAAACAAGGACGCAGAGAAATGTGGAAGCTCATTACGGATGGTAAGGAGGACAAGAAAGCAGAATGATGAGGAAGGTGAGGCTGTGGCAGAGCCAACATGGATGGCTCCTTGGAGCGGAGGCCACTCAAACTGGAACTTGAGGAGGGGAGGATCCGGCTGCATATGGAGCCGATGCGAAAGGCGCAGGGCCAGATGGTGACAATGCCGAGGCCCCAAGATGGGAGCAAAGTTGGTGTGAGCGAGAGCATGGTTCATGGAGGGCCAGCATGGAGGGTCTGTGAGGCCGTGCAGGAGAGGGTTAGGGGTTTGGATGCTACTGTAAGTACAGTGAGAAGACGCTGGAGGTAGCCCTGGAGACGCGGGTCTCTAGGCCAGCCCTGTGGGTTAAAGGAGGCTTTATTGTTTTGCTTATGCAAAATGTCAGCCATACCCAGATGCTCATGTCGGGAATGCATGAATTAGTAGGCAATCACAATGCATGACGTTAACACCAGAATTTATTCTGGAACATTCTCGGCAACATCTGCACAGAATCTGGCACAAGGCAATCACAAAGCTGAACTGTTGCTATGATTTAAGCTTCACAGTCAACTTGATATAAAATGGTTATTCTTTTAAATTTTATGTGGCTGCCTCTTGCAATCCCCCAACTGAGGACCCAGCCCCCAATCCAGGCATGCGCTGTGACTGGGAATCAAACCAGTGACCCTTTTGTTCACAGGCAGGCACTTAATCCACTGAGCCACGCCAACCGGGGCTAAAATGGCTATCTTTGATTCAAAGTGTATTTCACTGATGAAAAGGAACCCATTTTGATGGTACCTTGAGGGCTCTCTCTAGTTTAAAAGGAAGAGTGAAATGAAGGAAGAGGCTGAGCTTGCGGTGACATGATGTTATATGGGCACACGCACCTCCCTCACTGCCTCCACTTCTGACAGTGACCAGAAGACTTTCCTCAGGCCCAGTGTGTTTGAGGAAGGCCCTCACCTTTATCTCGCTTCAAGAACTCCAGCAAAGTCTGTATGGCAGCCACGGCTGAGGCCATGTCAGGATCTTCTTTCATCTGAGACTTAAAGTATTCAATTAACTCTGGAACAGAGAGAAACGTGATTCATCAAGCTCACTTAGCAGGCTGTAAGGCCCGGGGGCTTGGCAGTAACTGCTGACCTCACGAAGCAACCTCATTTTAAAACTTTCTTTTCAAGGTGTTTGGCTTTCAGGGGAATGACGATGCTTCATGGGAATAGAGGTGACACCTGCTAAGTGACAACCGAAAGATCATTCTCCCTCTTCACCGACATCCCAAGTCCTGAGAGCATCCCAGCATCAACCACCTTATCAATTCTCTTGAACCCTCACAGGCAATCTGTGCTAAGTCAAGCCTATTCACACACAGACTTCTTTACGTATGTGGAGAGTTCCACCCCCTTTGTTTTTTCCAACATGAAAACTACATTAGAGGTGTTAGTTTGCCCTTGTAGTTCACTTAATAAAGCGCTTTGATAACCACACTAGAGAGGCACACCAAACACGCCTTGTTCTTTTGATTCTAGTACCGGAGTCATCAGGACGGGGAGTCTCACTCCTACCCCACACAGAGGCACATCGAGACTGTTAAGACTTGCACGCTCCGTCCGAAGTCTCACTTTTCTGGACGAAGGCACTGGAAAGACGCGTGGGGAGAGGGGGTGCCTGCTGATACTCTCAGGTTCCAGTCCCTGGATACGGGACCGCGACAGGGGTTAAGGGACCGCATTCGGCCGAGCAGCCTGAGCTTGGAACGTGAGCTCTCCCGGAGCCCAGACTGGGCGTGCGAGGCGGGGAGAACCTTTGGGCGGCTCCGCTGTAGACCCAGCAGGCCCGCTCGTCCCGACCCAATTTACCCCTGTCGTCCATGGTGTCCTCCTGACGGCGGAGCCTGAGGAACCCAGAGCCGTCCCTGCTGCTTGGAGGAATCCCGCGACCACGCCTGCTCCAAGCCACGGAGACTGACAGCGAGCCTGGGAGCCCCGCACTCCACTTCCGGCGCTCTGGGGGCGGGGCTTGGGTACGGCGCCCGGTCCGGGCCCAACCGCCTAGCACGTCCCTCTGCGGCGCCGGAAATCGGTGTGCGCCTCACCCGGGATGCTCGCCTGATTCCTGGAGGCTGTATTCTGGGCGACCCCACTGCCATGGCTTCCGACGGTAAGGGTAGCGCCTGCGGGGCTCGGACACTGCGGCTGGACTAACTGGGCCCGATTGGGCCTGGCCGCGTGGAGTTTGTGTTTTGGGCTGGGCGGACTCTGGTTGGTCCTTAGGGGGCTAGCGACTGTATTCATGCAGTAGATATTTTGGAGTCACCTTCTGTGTGCCAGGCGCTAATTGTGGGTTGCGCTGGGCACCACAGCAGAGAATGTGACAGGCCCTCGTGGAGGTCACAGCCTGGTAGGTGAGCCAGACCATGATTCTGAAGGGGAACAAAAGCTCTACAAACACTGTAATGGGGGTGACGTGACGGGTTGCGGTTAGGGGCTCCTGAAGGAGGAGCCACTTTAAATCGGCGTCCAGGGGACCTCAGTGCTGTCGAAACTGAGACTGATGACTGTGCCAATGCCCTGTGGCGAGTCGAGCGACTACTTCACAGGGAGATAAAACGGGGAGCCTGGGGTGGTGGTGGTGAACGCAGGTGGAGAGACTTCCATTCATACATTAAACGACCAGGTATTGAGTCTGATTTCTTGAAGAAAAGAGGGACGGGAGAGACATTGCATGTGCGTGGGCCTCTCCTGGCAGACAGTCCGCTGTCTCTTCCCCCAGGCATCTTGATAGCAGCAAGGAATGAATGTCCTGAGAATTGTGAGGTGCGGCATGATGGATATGTAATAAGGCCAGAGGCATAAGATTTATGGGAGACACAGTCTTGTAAGTGCTGCTTCTGTGCTGGGCAGTTGGTTGTGTGATTTGCAGGATTAACAAAAGTCCTCTGTGTCTAAGGAGTCCACGGTCTCGTGGGCAGGGTTGGGAGAGATGAGAAACACGGCTGAGTGGGAAGGAGGTACTGAGTACTGAGCGTTATAACTGTGGGACTTTCAGGAGGATCAGTTTTCAGAACAGGGCATTGGCCTTGCTGTTTGCTGGCAGGCATGTGACTTCAAGCAAGATAGGATTTCCATTTGCAAAATAGCAATACCGTATTTCATCTAATCTAAAACAATATTGATTATGAAATGTGCTTTTATTTAGTATACCACTAAAAAAAGTACTGCACATCTTAACTGTAGGTTACTATCTGATTTCAGCAACTGTGAGATGTAAAAAAAAAAAAAAAGGGAGGAGGTACAGCTTGTAATTGATGAAAGATGGCAATAATATAGTCCCTTGCTGGGTTGTCAGCGTGGAATGGCATTACAGGCTTCCACGTGTTGGGCTGGATGAACAGGAGGCGGGCATCCCTGCTCTCCTGAGACCAGGGAGTTGGGACCTGTTGGAAGACGTGGGAAAGGCTTTTGGAAGAAAGAGGTAGCACTGGTTTGGGGCCCTGAAGAGTAAGTGGGATTTGGATATGTGAGCAGAAATCAGAGGTGGGGTGGGGATTATCCTGAGACCGGAGGAGACCAGACTGCAAGAAGGAACGTGTGGGAGCCGGAAGGACATTGTCCCTTCTTGGTATTAAATGAGCATCCTGGGTTTCCACAAGAGCACATGCTTATAAGTTCCAGTGTCTCCTCCTTTAGAATGTAGGCTCCCGAGGGCTTGGACAGAGTGTGCCCAACTCCTGGCACTGGTACTTTGTTGGAGCCCAAGAGGCCTGTGAGGGGTCGAGGATAGGGTCTAGCACTGCGGGTGTGGTGACTGGGCCTGGTTTCCGGCCTCGGGGCTATCTTGGGTTGTAACAGTTCTCTGACCCGTTGAGAAACTAGCCGCTTCTCCCATCAACTCATATCTTTGGCCTGTGCATCATGTATCCAGAAAGTATGTTAGCTTGGGAACGTCCGGACTCTAAGGGAAGAGATAAGCTTTGTAGGTCAAGGAAGTGAGCTACGTGCCAGAAGGCTTCTCCTTTGTTCTCCTTTGTATACAAGATTGTATATAAGCCAGAAGACTGCGCAATAAACTTGCCGTATGCCAGCAGAGCATTTGGTCCTCTCCTTTATTTCAGTCCCTCGCTCAGCCTCACGACCACCCTTGCCGCAGCGGGCTGTGGCAGTACTTGGTGTAAAGTTTGTCGAGTGAATGAATGTGTTAGGCTGGGTAACTCCGTGTTGAGGGTGTAGCCTGGTTTCTTTCCCAGGAAAATATTCTTTACATGGGAATTGGTTTTTGCCTTTTAAAACTGGTTTCTAATCACAGCTGGCCTTGCTTCTAGGGGATTCAATGTACTCAGGGCCAAACTGATTCCTGATTCCTCCCTTTAAGCACCTCCCACCCCATAACATTTTACTACTAGTGGTTCTTACTGCTGGTTCATTGGTGCTTCTATCGCTGACCAGGCATTTAAAATGTAAATGTCTTTGGGTTCACGTAGTAGATACTTATTACGCATCCTCTGTGGTGAGCAGCAGGCTAGGAGCAGAGGTGACAGAACAGACAGAAAGCCCTTTCCATTCCATTGATGTCGGGGCAGTGGTGCAGGAGGTGGGCGGGGCTTGTCAAGGGTCCACAGACTATAGACATGTACAAGAACTTGGCCTTTTGTTAACCTCCCAGCTGTCAGATCAGACACGTGAAAAGACACGTGGGATGTTAGCTTGGATTCACTTTCACGGGGCTAATGTTTTTTTATTTTTGTTAATATTTTCAGAAGATGAACTGAATCTTCTAGTTATCATAGTCGATACCAACCCGATTTGGTGGGGAAAGCAAGCATTGAAGGGATCTCAGGTAAGATTGCTTGAGGAGGCCTTTGGATAATTCCAGAGAATAGTAATTTCACCCCAGAAGATGTGATGTTTGCTATTCCCTAAATACTATACAGAAAATACTTGTGGAATAGTGTTCTGATACAGAAATGATCTCCTATAAGTAAAATGAGAAAACTGTAGTTTTCAAGTGTTTCGGCGTATGGCTTTGGAGGAGGGAGCCCCTGAGCGGTGAATAATTAGTGTTTAAGTGAAATATTTATTAGGAGCCCATGTAGGGATTTGCACAGCTACTTTTCCTTTCTGGTGTCTTCTTTCCTCAACAGTTTACATTATCAAAATGCATGGATGCAGTCCTGGTGCTGGGGAATTCTCACCTGTTCATGAACCGTTCCAACAAGCTCGCGGTGATAGCCAGTCACATTCAGGAAAGGTAGGGCCGTTGGGGGACCTGCCCGGCTCCCGCCCTCCGAGGCGGCGATGCCGGTTGGCGAGCATTCAGCGCCGTCCCCCTGTGCGTTGTAACAGGTGGTTCGGTGCCAGTGAACGGTGCTGACCGCACCAAGGGTCAGCACACCCACACCTTCAGAGGGTGAGCACGGGCAGCCACGTGGCTCATCCGCAGTTGAGTTGCACTCTGCACAGTGAGCTGGCATGGCTTCAGCTGTCAGCTCCAGGCAAAAAAGGAGAACAATGGGATGGGCCGCTGCCATTGCTGCCCTACTTGAGGGTCTGCCCCTGGAGCAGGTGAGATTCTGCTCTCCCCAGGGCTCCGGGCGTGCCTCTCTGGGCAGGAACATTTCAGTGCTCTGCGTGGGCTTCCAGGGTGTGTAAGAAAGGACTTTTCTCATCAGTCGGCTCCAGAACCCACGCCAGCTGCTCCGTCTGGTGCCCCGCTGAGGAGGCAGTGGCCGTTTCCAACACTGGGGCAAATCCGGCTGCCGGGGGCACCGCAGGCTGGTGGGTGCTTCCGGAGCCGGTGTGCGGGCACGGCCCGTGGGCAGGCCAGGTCAGTGTGGTGAACAGGTTTGACCACACCGACTTGTCAGGGTACACGCGGGCTGTAGAATCAGCTCTTCTCTGTCGTAATTATAAGTCCATCACATTAGAGGTGACTCTTGTTCATCCACATGCCTCGTGGGAGGTTAGCAGATAGCTGTCCGTGGGTCTCGGTTCAGAGCGCTGCTTCCTCTGGTGTGTGGAAAGAACACTCGCCCCCCTGCCCCCTGCCCTGGAACCGCTCCCTCCCCCAAGGTCGCCTTACGTGTTGTGTTTCTCAGAATCGAGAATGGATGCTGATCAGACTGAGATGCCAGTAAATGCCGTGACAGGCCAAGTTTTCATTTTTCAGATAAATCAGACGTCTTGTACACGATTACTATAAAAGTCATGAATCACTAGAAGAATCTTCTAGGGACCCTTGGAGCAGGTTTTTATTACTGGAGTAGACAAGTAGACCTCAGATCATAAACTAACAGTGAGTTAGAAGCTGGTGTGAATCTTCCAGGTGTCACTGAGAAAGTAGAGTGACACCCGCCCCCACCATCCCACCACGGGAAACACTTAGACAGACGGAGCCCAGCGCCCCCTCGCTCTTTCCTCTCACCTCCAGGGAACAGTGGGATCGGTGCAGCGTCCTGTGGTGGTCGACTCAGGTTTCCAGTCGCCTGTTTTAAACATTTTTAAAAAGGGAATTTACTATAGGACCTCGTGAGTCTGGGATTAACATGGTCTTTGTTTCTCTGCCCAATCCCCTGTGGATGTTGGTGAGGCCCCAAGTCCTGGGGCGACGAGGTGTTCCCCCCCCTCTGTTTCAGTCGGTTCCTGTATCCTGGAAAGGACGGCCGACTTGGAGACTTCTTCGGGGACCCTGGCAAGACTCCTGAGTTTACACCCTCAGGGAGTAAAGACGGGAAGTATGAGTTGTTAACAGCAGCAAATGAAGTCATTGTCGAAGAGATTAAAGATCTGATGACCAAGAGTAAGAGCTTTTTTTTTCCATTATGGTCATTTTGCAAACGGAGTTGAAGATGGGGCGTCCTGGGGGCTTTGAGTCCAAAGATTTGAGGTTCTCAGTGGTCCCTCCTTGCCTCTCTCTCTTCTGTTGTTCAAAGTCATTTTCAGCGAGGTCTGTGCTTTGTTTACCTGGCCCTGCAGCGCCTGGTGCTGCGGCCCAGCCTCTGCTTCTCGAAACACACGCTTTGGCTTCTAAGACTCTCCTGTCGTTCTGGTTTCCTCTTTTCTGGGCCTTCTTTTTCTGACTTTTCCTTGACCTTGCCCCTTATATATATTTTTTATTCCGCACGTTATGTTTTCCTTTGCTGTATATCCTCCTCCACTCTTTATTGTTTATCTGTGGACACTTCCCGGCCTTTGCCCCGATCCAGTCTTCCTTTTCAGTGCACATGTCGCCCCTCAGTGTCCCCCAGCCTCCCCAGATTTGTTTCAGTTTCTTTTTTTTTTTTTAATATTTTATTTATTTATTTTTAGAGAGAGGGGAAGGGAAGGAGAAAGAGTGGGAGAGAAACATCAATGTGTGGTTGCCTCTCATGTGGCCCCCACTGGGGAGCTGGCCTGCAACCCAGGCATGTGCTCTGACTGGGAATTGAACCGGTGACCCTTTGCTTCACAGGCCCACGCTCAGTCCACTGAGCTACACCAGCCAGGGCTGTTTCAGTTTCTTTCCTCCTCCGTCACACCCATTACACTCCCCATCTCCATCACCCGCACCCACCCAGAGTTTTCCAGATTCTGATCAGCTCTGAAATCCTGCAGCCTCTGAAGTACCTTCACAGTGCGACCTTTGTCACCCGTCCTGCAGCTGCCCCTCAGTTCTGCTGAGGTTTGAGCCGGGTCCCTCTCTGTGCGGGGGGCTGCCCTGTGTGCTGCAGCGTGCCCGGCCTCGCCCACTAGCTGCCTTACATTCCCCAGCCCTGACGACCAAACTTGTCTGCAGGCATTGCCAGATGTCCCCTGCAGGGCACACTTGCTCAAGGTGAGGGCCGCAGCTGCAGGTCTTGTCACAGCTCCCTAAGTGGCACCTGTCTCTTCCCTTTCATTCCTTCCGCTCAGTCTCTAGAGTGGTGCCCCGGAGGCCTGGGCTACCCCTGTCTGGCCTAAAGGCCACCTCCGGTGCCTGTTGCTTGAGTCCCTGTCACCTGCAGGCGGTGTTTTTCAAACTGTAGCCTCAGAATCGCCTGGTGGGTAGAGGCGACTCTGTAGGGACAGAAGGTCGTTCGTGGTTTGTGGGGCTGCGGAGGAGCAGGAGGGACTGGGAACGGCTCTCGTGATCTTTGCGGTGAGGGAAATGCTCTAGGATTACGTAGAACTTAAAATCATCGCCTCGAGCACTTAGAGCAGTGAGTTTTATGTCCGTGAGTTATATGCCCAGAACCCTGTTAGAGCACGTGGCTGGTTCTTTAAAGGAATGCACCAGGCCCTACTCTGCAGGTTTTGATTCTTTGGGTCCAGGGTGGTCCCAAGAACTTGTATTTCTACAAAGGTCCCAGGTCATGCTCCCACAGCTGGTTCCAGAATCACTCAGAACCTCTGGCCTCCAGGGCAGCGTTCTAGCTTCTCAGGATGAGTGAGGCTCAAGACCTTTCCTGGCCCAAGCTGGGGAAGCGGGGGGATCTGGGCTCCCAGGTCAGTCTGGGCTCCCCGCCCCCTTGAGCCACAGCTGTACAATTTTGACATCTCGTAGGAGTGAGGTTTTTCACCCAAGCAGGTTGCAGACTCCGTCGCTGCCTGCACAGCGGGCAAGTCTCTTCAGGCCTGACCAGCCAGCAGGTCTCCCAGGGGCGTGGGGAGGGGCAGTGGGAAAACCGGGCAGCGGGGCCGGGGCCGGGGCCTGGCCCAGGGCCGCTGGGCTGGCTGCCAGCAGTTCCCCAGGCCCTTCCGTGGGAATGTTCCAAGGAACCCCAGGATACTTTTTGTTATTTATTTTTATTGTGGAGAAACTTGTGCAGAATAACGTTACCATTTCAGCCCCTCTGAGTACATGCTCCGTGGTGGCAGTGAGGGCGGCTCGTTGTCGGGCAGCCGTCACCGCAACCTGTCTCAGAACTTGTCACTTCCCCACGCTGGGACTCGGTGCCCCTCAGACACCAGGACTTTTTAAGTTCAGAAAATGTTTTAAAAACTGCCCACTTCAGCATCGTTGAGAACCAATTGCTGTTTTTAAACCCAGTTTGAAAGCGTTATGTTATTTCATTCGTGAAGAATGCTTTGGTTTGGAAATCATTTTAATTTAAGAAAATGCAATAAAACCCCTCTCTTAACCTTTGCATCACTCTTCACAGGTGACATAAAGGGCCAGCACACAGAAACTCTGCTGGCAGGGTCCCTGGCCAAGGCTCTGTGCTGTATCCTTGCTGCTCCCGCATTCAGAGGGCGCCTGCGGGGCGGGCGTGTCTCCCCTCGTGGTGCTCCCCAGAGCCCCGTGCCCACGCGAGTGGAAGGCGCGACATGCCTGTGAGACGAGTAGTAAAAACTCGAAACGGGGAGAATGGGGGGCCCCCAGGCACTCTGGCCCGGTCTTCTGCTCCTGACTCTTCAGGACACGTCCTCGTTCCTGGCCGGGCAGGCTGGGGGCTGGTTCTTTCTTTCATCCCCGAGAGCAGTATCCGGCCCTGACCCGGCTGTTCCTGGCCCCGTGGGGCGCGCCTGGTCGTCGCTGCCTGGTTTCCGAGTTTGACATCTCATCTGATGGACATGGTGGTTTACCTGTGGTCCCAGGATTTGAATCTAGGAGGCTGTGGCTAATCATGCGTAGAGCAGTCAGATGGTGATAATTTGAATTTTCCAGGACAGCGGTACTTTGGTCAGGTTGTAAGATCAGCTGATTGCAGTTGGTCACTGGAAATCTCCGATCTCTTGTTTTGTGTGTTTATCATGGTAAATGGAACATTCTTTTTTTTAGCTATGTGGTTGTTGGGTTTATTTAACCAAAATTTGAGGTTATTTCTGTTTACTATGAGTATTTATGAAATTAAATAATATTTTTTAATTCCTTAATGCTAAGAAAATAAGATATTCATAGAATGAGCAAGGAGGTTAAAGGTAGGAACCTTTGTTTTTCTATGGAACTAATTTTATTTTACTACTGTAACAGGGTGGGCTGTTTAAAATCGTTTAGAAAACCTTATGATATGTGTAATAAGATTCAGATAAATTGTAATCCGCTTTTATCTCTTTATAGATAATCAGGAAATGAAGTCAAGGATATTGGTAAGTTTTTAAAAAATCAATACCATGTTTATATGTCAGTTGTAGCCAATCGGAAAACCTGGCGGGAGCCCCGGCTGGGCGGTTTGGTTGGCTGGAGTGTGTCCCGTACACCAAAAGGTTGCAGTTGGATTCCAGGTCAGGGCACGCACAGGATTTAGTCAATTGATGTTTCTATCTCGCATCAATGTGTCCCTCCCTCTCTGTCTTTCTCTCCCTTTCTCTTCCTCTCTCTCTAAAATCAATAATTTTATCCCTGGGTGAGGATTTTTAAAAAAGGTAAAAAGTTCTCATAAATTTTAAAATATATTTTATTTATATTTTTAGAGAGGGGGAAAGGAGGGAGAAAAAGGGAGAGCGACATCGATATGCAAGAGAAACTTTAATTGGTTGCCTCTCACACGCCCCCAACTGGAGACCTGACCCACAGCCCAGGCATGTGCCCTGACTGAGAATTGAACCAGTGACCTTTCAGCCTGCAGACCAGTGTTCAGTTCACTGAGCCACACCAGCCTCAGCCTCTCATACATTTTTACAAGTCAGAATTAGTCTAAAGAAGCAGCAGTCATGAGCAGTCTGCCAAAGAAGAGACAGGAATGATCAGTTAATGTTTGAAAACACATTCATTTCATTGTGCACTTCTTGCTCAGCACAAATGAAAAAAGCTGGCCGTTCGGAGGGTTGACGGTGGCGTTGGGGGGGTTGTTTACTCTCTGTGTCTCTGATGGGAAGATACAACAGCACAGCTTGTCTGGAGGGCGGCCGGTCACCTGTCACCTGTCGTGTGGGGGAGAAATGTGGTCTCACTGATTCCATGTGTAGGCGCTACCCCTAGGGTCCTGCAGGGGGCGTCCCGAGCGTGTCCATCAGAGCGCGGTCTAGAACAGGGCCGCACTCTGCGGAAACCTGGCCTGCGGATGGCTGGTGAACCGCGGGCAACGGTGACGGGCGTCGGTGACGTTGGGAGGAGGGATGAGATAGGGCCACATGAGTAGGATGCAGACCCTAGAGGGAAGGTCGTCCTGCCGTGGGTGTGAGTGTGTGTTCATGCCCGCGACAGTGCTCTGGTGGCGAGGATTACCTCTGGAGCCCTAGGATGTGGTCATCGTTACGCGCAGAGGTATTCTGTAACGGTGGTAACGAGGCAGGCACATGAGAAAAACGGCAGCAGTTGTCGCCTGCGGGGCGTGGTGCCGTCGCGTGCGTGGGGCACTCGGAGAGCCTGCGGGCGCTGACGCGGTGTGGTCCGCAGGTGATCAAGGCGGCGGAGGACAGCGCGCTGCAGTACATGAACTTCATGAACGTCATCTTCGCGGCACAGAAACAGGTGCGCGCCGCCCTCCTCAGGGACGCCTGTTTCCTGGTGAAGGAACTGGTTTCTCTTTTTTTGAATGATCTACTTCGGGAGAGATTCTGAGTAAATAGCCTTATTAATGGATTAGGGATCTGGAATCCATATCTCATACAGTGATTCCTCTATTTGGAGTCCTGGACCCCTTGAGAATCTGATGAGCCCCAGAAAAATGGGCACTGAAACAGTTTACTGCGGTTTCCGCATGTTCCTGCGACCCTGTGCAGCCCGTCCTCAGACCCCAGGCTGCGAATCCCTGGCTTTACAGCCTGCTGCGTACCTGGATGGATTATTGCTAATAGCAGAGAATGTTAAGGCTTCAGTTTTAATCTGAAGTGCCATAGCCACGTATAATTTCCTCCATCTTGGAGTGCCTGCATGATGTGGTGACAAGAGCAAGGGCCTTGGGGACAGGCACAGTGGGGCTGACAGCAGGGCCTCCCGGCCTCTGTGACCACAGCCTGGCCAAGGCCCGGACGCTTGAGCTGCAAAATGCTGGTCGCATATGTACCTTGCAGAGTGATCGAGCGCGTTAAGTAAGCCCTTTCCAGTGTAGAGTCTGGCACGTAGTAGGTCATCGGTGTAAGGTAGTCATTGCTCTCGTTCCCGTAACATTTTTGCAACATTCGTTTCAGAATATTCTGATTGATGCCTGTGTGTTGGACTCTGATTCCGGACTCCTCCAGCAGGTATGTTTTCGGGGGGTGCTCCGTGTTGGTGGTTAGGAGAGCGTGGCATGTTTGTCGTCTGCTGGTAAATGCCTTCGCCTGTCTTCCCGCCGTGGTGGGGGTTGGCCTGTCCGACGCTGCAGATCGGAGAACTCACACCCCTCCGGTCCCTTCAGACTTCCTATGTATGTTTCACATAGTGAGTTGATTGACTTTGTAAAAGTGGTTCACACCTTAAAACAAATTCAGGCAACACAGAAAAGTATTTTTAAAGGGTTTAAAAAAATCCCTTTGGGTCTCATCAGCCAAAAATGACCATTGTTGATAATGTTAGGTGAACGGAATGACATCTTTTTGGATGTAGATCTAGATGGAAGACTCAGCCCGAGCCGAGCACTTTAGGGAAACAGGACCACAGTCCAGGTCTGGGCCGTCCCCCGTGGCAGCCACAGGCTGCTGCGGTCTGGAACGAGTCTCGTCTGAACTCAGATGCTCGGTAAGTGTGAAACACGCTGAATTTCAGACTGCCTGTGAAAAGCAGAGTGTGAAGTATCTTCTTTTTTTTTAAAATATTTTATTTATGTATATTTCGAGAGAGGGGAAGGGAAGGAGAAAGAGTGGGAGAGAAATATCAATGTATGGTTGTCTCTCATGTGTCCCCTGCTGGGAACTGGCCTGCAACCCAGGCATGTGCCCTGACTGGGAATCGAACATCGATACTCTGGTTCGCAGGCCGGTGCTCAGTCCACTGAGCTACACCAGCCAGGGCTTTGAAGTATCTTCTTAATGACTTTTTGTATTGATTATGTGTTAGACTGGTAGTACTTTAGATACATTGAGTTAAAAAACATACATTATTAAAATTTTACCTCTCCATTTTATGCGGCTAGGAAATTTAAAATTATTTGTGTTGTATGTCTGTTGGACAACACTGTTAGATGTTGGTCTTACATCAGAAGTAGGAAACTGAATTCTCCTTCAACCAGTAAGGAAGAAAAATTGAAGATTGAAGATTACTGAACTTTTGACAAATGTATTTTGTCCATAAGAAATATTGTTTTCCAAAAGATCATTTAAAAGCACAAAACTGCAGAAAACCTTGAGTCTCAGTTACGGCTGGGCGTGGGCAGGGGGAAGGGGGGGCGATCAGGAGGTGCGCTGGTTTCGGAGGCTCTGGAGCGCCTGTGACTTCAGCTCAACGACAGGCCCACAGTGTTCACTGGGCGTGAAATGGTGCAGCCGCTTTGAGAAACAGTCGGAAACTTCCTCAGAGCGTGGAACACGGGATTGCCCTGTGACCCAGCCCCTGCGTATATCCAAGGGAAATTAAATTGTGCTAACCTAAAAAGTTATTAATGATTAAAAAACAAAAAAAGAAATAAACTATATGTGCATGTTCACAGCTGCACTGTTCGTAACAGCCATAAAGTGGGAACAGCCCAAGTGTCCATCAGCAGAGGAAGGGGCAGACAAAATGCGGTCCGTTCACACTGTGGACTGGGACTTGGCCACAAAAAGGAATGAAGTTCTGGCACCTGCCACTGTGTGGACAAACCTTGAGAACATGATGCCAAGTGACAGATGCCAGACAGGGACAAATATTATCAGATTCCATTTATGTGAAATTCCTGGAATAGGCAAGTCCATGGACACAGAAAGCAGATTCATGGTCGTCACGGGCTGGGGGAGGAATGGCGAGTGGCCGATGAATGAATGTGGCTTTCCTTATTGGGGTGGTGAGAAGGTTCTGGAGCCAGGTATTGGTGATGGTTGCACACCTCTGAATATACTAACACCCAGAGAGTTGTACACTTCAAGTAATGGCATGAATTGTATCTCAGAGTTGTTATTAAAAAATATACTGAAACTGAAAAATACACTGAAAGTTTCAGTATATTATAAAAATATACTGAAAGTGAATGATACGAATACAAACCTATCGAGCAGACAGACAGACAGAATAGAGGGCACATGTCTCTGACGAGTGAAAAGGTGTGAGCCAAGGGGAAAAAGAAATGTGTGTGCGTCTCCAAGGGAGCTGGGCCTTTCCGGTCCTCACACCTGCGGGCAAGCCCTGCCGTCCACCCGCTGCTCCAGGACCTGAAGCGTTGCTGGCGGGAATCTGGCGGGAACTGCATGCCCCTGGAAAGGCTCAGTAAGTGCTGCTTTGGCAGAGGCCCCGTGTGTCTTGCAGGCGTGTGACATCACAGGGGGAATGTACCTGAAGGTGCCGCAGATGCCCTCCCTTCTGCAGTTCTTACTGGTGAGGAAACCTGGCGGAGAGCTTGGTGCCTTGTGAAGGGAGAGCTGCTCCCTGGGGGACGGGTGGGAGCCCGGTGGCCGGTGCTGGCAAATGGGAGAACGGAGTGAAGGGGTGACCTAGGGCTCCCGGGCTGAGAAGGCTGGGCGTCGGGGAGCCTTTGAACACTGAGCTGCGTGCAGAACGTGCTAGGGCTGCCTGCACGAGGGGTGTGTGGAGGTGCTCGTGTGCTGAATGAATGGAAATGCCCCCCCCTTTGCAGTGGGTTTTTCTTCCTGATCAGGACCAGAGACCTCAGCTGACCCTCCCACCCCCCGCGCACGTCGACTACCGGGCTGCGTGCTTCTGTCACCGAAACCTCATTGAGATCGGCTACGTCTGTTCAGTGTGCTTGTCAAGTAAGTTCTCGGACCACATTTTTCTTTTCTTTTTCAGAAAACGGTAACTGTGTGGTTTTAAACCCTCCTGTTTTTTTTTTCTTTTCTGAATTGACAGTATTCTGCAATTTCAGCCCAATCTGCACCACCTGCGAGTAAGTATCCCTGGTGGTATGGCCGGCTCACGAGCTGTGGAGCCGGCAGGGCATCACCGACTTTTCTTCTTCCTGTGTCACTCCAGGACTGCCTTCAAGATCTCGCTGCCTCCTGTTCTGAAGGCCAAGAAGAAGAAACTGAAAGTGTCCGCTTGATAAAACCGCCCGTCCTGTAGACGCCGTGCGGGGAGGCTGTGGGGGGCTCCGGGAACCGGCGGGTGTGTCTCGGACCGCTCAGCGCAGCGTCTCCCGGACACAGGTCTGGAGAGCCGTTCCTCATGCTGTGCTTCTGGGGCTGGTTTTTGGGAGGGAGCCCTTCTCTGCAGTCTGTGCCCCCCAACATGTTTTTAGACCTATTTTGGTCCAGAAAGGGGAGAAAGGACACATTTATGACTTTCTTATTGGGATGATCATTTGTTACATCAGTCTGCCCTGACTGACTATAGGCTTTAGAAGTTACTGCCCAGGTCTAGGTTCTTACTGTGAAACGGTACGTGGAAAATTCAAGTGTTAGAAAAAGTGCAGTCATGGCATTGGTCAGTAGGGGGCGCTTTAGTTGAATCAGCTGTTAACTGTAGCAGTAGTCATGTAGCTAAAACCCTGACCGACCCCATTGAGATGCGGCTTTGGATATTAGCGGTTCTTTATTCTGTTGAGTGACATTAGGACGTGTTTGGATAAAGATAGCCAAGTAATAATGATGGTTTCTCACCGATTTCCTACAAAGTCCGACTTTAAATGAGCGAGGCAAGTGAGTGCAGGAGTCCAGCAGTGACCTTTTCTTCGAAAGCAGTTGTGTGAAGAGCTCGCCCTGGAAAGCTAGGGTCTGGTTGTGAGTGTGTAAGTTCTCGGGGAGGGGTGTGTGTGTGTGGTGGGGCGGGGAGGCGGAACGGAGCCTTTATAATTAAGTGCTGCCCGCAGACTGAATCCTGTGCTTTTTAATGGAGGAAAAGACAAAAATCGTTGGTAGTGGAGAACTGTCCTTCAGATGCTCTGGACTTAATACTGGAAACTCCCAGAAGTTCAAAAGATAAATTATTTGTAATTTTAACAATAAAGACTATTTTTCTATGTAACCTTGAAGTTGTTAAAAGTCCTTTGATAGCATAGGAAGGATTTTCAGGAACAGTGGCTGGTTTGGTTTGTTTTTAAAAGTATGTTTGCAAATTGTGTATCCAATTTTGTATATGAATAAGATTTAAATTTTCGCTTTATACCATCTCAGCAGTTGAGTCTCATTTAAGTAACTTGGTGGTCTTTGGTTAGACGATTTCAGGTGGTAAATGAACAAAAATTTGGTGATAAGTTTGCAAGTACTTGTTAATTCTTAAGTATGAAAATATATCCTTTCAAAAATAATATGTAATATTTTAGAGCCTAATTCAGTGTCATGGAAATCACTCTCAAGTCCAGGAGAGAGAGCAGCGCGTATGTAAAAGACGGATAAGTTCAAGCAAGTTGACGAGGTTTTTGTTTTCATTCGTTGGAACTGTTTTATATACTGGCTTAGTTCTGCTTGTTTTATGTTTGTGTTGTGCTTATGGTTTATTTTATATGCATTTTTATAATAAAATAATTTAAATTTTTATTATTTCAAATACCAGACAATATGTTTTTAAAGATTTTATTTACTTATTTTTAGACAGAGGGGAAGGGAGGGAGGAAGAGACGGAGAGAAACATCCATGTGTGGTCGCCTCCTGTGTGCTCCCCACCAGGGACCTGGCCCGCAACCCAGGCAGGCGCCCTGACTGGGAATCGAACCGGTGACCCTTTGGTTCGCAGGCTGGTGTTCAATCCACTGAGCCACTCCAGCCAGAGCCAGACAATATTTTATTCAGTTGTGAAGAACTTTAATTCACATCTTGCCAAAATTATTCATGAAAATATTGTTTCAAATCCTATGTAATTAAATAGATTGGTATGAAGTAGTTAATATAAGATTTCTACATATGAAAGGATTAGAAGAGAGTTTTGATGTTTACTTGTAATTTCATGTTAGGAGCAAGATTAACAAAATTTTGATTATTTGGTATTTTCACTGGGTAAAGCAGGCTGGTATTAGAGCATAATAAACGTTTCCATGCCGGAAAAGTGGGACTCTTGATGATCTCATACTAGTTACCTGTAAAACCACGAAGTTGCTCCCGAACAGAGTAAATCCTTCGGAGTTAGAGCCGTCCAACTGCTGCTCTGAAGGCAGGTCTTTGTGCTTTATCTACAAAAGGATTCCTACTGGTTGTTTTTTTTAAGTTTTTTTTTTAATTTGAAATAATCCAAACATTTGTAAGAGTTTCAGCAATTCCAAAAAGAGTGGAAAGAGTGCCTGAAATGCTTCCAGCAGCCACAGACAGGGGAGTGCACAGCAGTGACATTTTTGTGCAAAAAGTGCAGTGTTTAAAAATCAGGACTTGGCATTGGTAGTTGACTTACAACTTTATGGATGCATTTTATATTAATAGAAATTATTACAGAGAATCTTAAGAATTCTCTGGTAATTGATTAAAATATAAATTTCAAGTGTACATGTGGTAGTTGGTTTTTTAATACCATTGCAGTTCAAAACTACCATTTTTTACTTTTGAAACTTCCTTTTGACTGTAATGCCTTAGAATTCCATAGTTCATTTCCATAAATCTCCTTTGGCTAAATAGCTTAATGTAACTAAAAGCAGGAAAGTAAAGCATGCTTTTAATAAGCACTTCTTTTTCTGATTACAACACAGAATGACTACATGCTTTCTGGAGAAAATTTACAAACGTAGAGGAAAAATAGAAAGAAAATCCACTTTCATCACCCCCCCGCCCCCCCTACTCACCCAGAATTGGGAGGGCTGGAGAGTCACTGTCAATATTTGGTACCTTCTTTACCAGTGTCACAGTGTCACATCTGCTCACATTTATCAGGTCCACTGTCAAATGAAAGGGTGATTTTGCAACTGACCTAAGAAAAAGTGTTTATTTTACATCTGACAAGCAACCTTTGCCAGTACAGGTAACTATGGTACAAATGATGCCTATTTAAAATGCATGACAACATAGTAAGAATGTAAAGGTCTAGAAAAGTGGAACTTGGTGAAAAGGATTCATCATGCATTAAAAATACCCCATGACCATTAGTGTTTGCCCTCATTACTTTCTTAAATAAAACATTTTGACCCAAGGATTACAAATAATTTAACATGCCAATTTCTCTCACTGTATATGGTTACTCTCTTGTTAAGAAATGGTTAGTAAATAACAAAATACTCAAGTCACTTAACCTTCCTTTTAGTGAGGTTTTCTTAGGCTTTATCCGCAGACATTAAGAGATTGAAGCGCTTTGCCATGTTAATGTTACAACTGCAGCAATTAACCATTTTTCGAGAAGAGTGTAGGAAAAATAATGCTCAGAATGTTAGATTCGCTGATCAATTAATACATAACAGGAAAAAAAGCCGGAACATACAGAGTAATAAAGGCAAACGTTTATTTGGCCTTTGCTGTCGGTCAGGTGTTGTGCTGAACACCCCGTGTGCGTTTTTTCAGCTAACTGGTGCACCAGCCCTCCAAGAGTGAAAATCGAGACGACGCTTATTGGGGGCTTACTATATGCCAGGCATTGGGCTAAGGTCATTAGATACCTTGCCTCATTTAATTCCCACACGATCTTGTTTGGGAAGGACTATTAGAGAGAGAGAGAGAAACACCAATCAGCTCTTCTCATAAGCACCCGGACTGGGGCTCGAATCCATGACCCTTCTGTACAGGACGCAAGCTCCAACCAGCCGAGCCACACTGGCCAGGGGGAAACTCTAGCTTGTTTGTTTTTTTAAGTTTAATCTTTATTGTATTCTTTCCATTACTATTTAGTCCCCTTATACCGCCCTCCCCACGCACAACTCCAGTTTTTAAACTATATGCGGACTCCTACCTTTCTTGATCCTTCTTCAGGTGGGCGCAGGGCTTGTGGGCGGGGCCGGGATGCTGAGGCTCGGCCCAGGGTGGGCTCTCTACCGCCAGTCCAATCACAGTGCGCCACTCAGCAGGTTCGTGGCTGATTGGTGGTTGCCATAGCTCCCAGCGTTCGCTTGACAAGATGGCGGCGGAGGGGTAACAGAACCCTAGGTGCTGCGTCCTGGCGGTTCTTGACATCTAGGACACGCGCGGTTCCACATTCTACCGGGAGAAGTCCCAGATATGGGCTTGGGACCATCGCCGGTCACTCTGCTCTTGGGGCTCCTGCTTTTCCAGGGCGTCCCAGCGCCGTTGTCGGGAGGCCCAGGTATGCACCGAGGGCAGGGGCCTGCAGTGCCAGGCCAGGGGGACGAGGCGCTGAAGGCGCCAGATGCAGTCTCCTCGTTCCGGAGTCACTGCTGAAGCAGGCCTGGAGCACAGACTCCGCCTCTAGTAGCTCCTCCCTGTTTTCTTCCTTCCCGCCTAGTGTTCATCCCTTCTTTCATCCGTATGTCTGTCCCTGAGGTCAGTGCATCCCTGGTTGGAGCCCCCGAGGATGTGGCTGTGTCCCTGTCCCTGCTGCAGGCCGAGGCGGGTAAAGAATCTGGCTGTTCAAGTGGAGGAGGGAGGTGGAGGGACCAGGTCCCAGCTGGCAGAGGAAATGGGCGAGGTGGCACCCCGGGTGTCCCCTGCCTGCAGTTGGCCACGGGGTGGATGTGGGGTGGAGGGCGGGGGCTGCTGTGGACCCTAGATGACCGCAGGACAGCTCCAATCAAAGCCAGCTTGCAGTCACAGTGGCTGGCATTTAGTGAGCTGCGCCCCCCCTCCCGTGCCTGACATGCATCATCACCTCACTGTCCCAATGAGAACAGTAATATTTTTTAATCTCATGAGACAGCTGAAGACATTGACTGACGTTCAGAGAGGTTGCCACTTGCCCGAAGTCACACAGCTTGTAAAGGGCCTGATCTTCTGCTTGGAAAGGGATTCCATCCTAGGCAGTGCGTGTACTCTGTAAGCTGCTGGGCAATACCACCTTGCGTTTCATCTCCTTTAGGATCACTGCCCGTTCCTGCGTGTGGTGTGCTGAACAATGACACAGGAGACTGGAGTTTGACTGTGACCCGCAGTGTGGTAAGGTGGCATGTGTGGAGACCCACAGTCAGTGCTCTTGATTGGATGAGTTGCAGCCGTCTCGGGGCTGGAGCTGCCACCAGACTGGGCTCTCAGGTCCATTAGACACTGATCCAGCCCTGAGATCCTTCCCCCAGGATTAGGGATCCTCCAACGAGTCGCAAAGGGTCTGAGAACCCCCTGAAACTGGGTGTCAAATCATGTACGCACGCGCATTTTTCTTACGAGAGGGGTGCCAGCTTTCATCAGATGATCAAATGATTCTGTGACTCAAAAAGGCCCTTAAGCCACAGATCTCATCCTCCTCTGAGCTTATGTGTAAGGACCCTCCAGCCTGGAGAGATTAAATATCTTCCATTTAATTCCTGTTAAGGAGTACCTGCTGTGTGCAAGATACCGGCTCCAGAGTTTATGGAGGAGGAGGACAGACTTCACCCCTCAGGACCTGGGGACTGTGTGCAGGCACTTTTTGTTGTTGTTGTTCCTTATTTTTATTTATTAATTTTTTTCAGTAGCTTGTTCTGTATATTTAATCTTCTACCGGAAGAATGATAAACTCAAAAAGGGCTAGGCAATCTGAGTTAATTTCAGACCCGTGGTTCGCTTTCTCTGAGTATCCAAAGGCTGCTTGCTTTTTTGTTAAACAGGCTTTGAAATCAGGGCTTGCACATTGCCAGAGATTTATGGGTGGAGTTAATCAGAGTTACGTTACCTCTGTGTACAGTTCTCCCCTTGTAAACTGAACTCAGACTGGCGTGTGACTTGTCTGGGTTTTCCATCACCGCAAAGCACAGCGGTCTCTCCCGTTCAGAATGCGCTGGAAGTGACAGTGCGGTTGAAGGGGGCTCCACAGCGGTGTTCCTCCAAGGAGACGGACCCCTTCCCCCAGTCCCCGTGTCTCGTCCAAGCGCTGCTGGTTTCGGCCTCTCACAACTCATCCTGTTTAGCGCATCTGCCCATTCAAGTGGAGATTTACGCCAACTCCTCTCTGGCCCAGAACGCGTCAGGCAAGTGACGTCTTTTGACCGTCCCAACATTCATGTCGAGTGGTGTCTGTGGGTGCTGTGTATCTTGCGTATTTCCTGTGGATGTGGATTCACAGGGTGATGGGACTGGGGGTCGGGCAGGTAGCTCAGTTACACACACGCTTGCAGTTGGATGGGTACGAGGTCAGCCGTCTGCCGTGTCGCCATGGCTCCGGGCTCCTCTGCTGAGGGAGGTGATGAATTTGAAGGACTAAATGTTTGGCAGTCTGCAGTAAGAAAAGGGCAGTTCTGCATATTGAGAGATAAAATGAGTGCATCCCATTTACCCTAACTGGTAAATTGCAGCCACTGGCTTACCTTCAGGACAGCGGCGCCTTCTGTGGTCTGCTATAACTACCCCGGTGTCTCCGGACCCTCCGGTTTTTGGTGGGGTGGCGCACACAGGCCTCAGGTGTGCTCTGTGCATCGCTCACTTCAGGGGCTCCATCCCGTGGGGTACCTGGGAATGACGGTTTGTGAAACAACGATTCAGCTTTCTTTTCAATGTCAGTGCTGTGGCCATGCTTTGTCAGAGGGTTTGTTTCATAGCCGAACTTCTCTGTTGCTTGTACTTTTCAGAGAACGTGACTGTTATCCCCAACCAGGTGTACCAGCCTCTTGGTCCATGTCCTTGTAATTTAACAGCCGGGGCCTGTGACGTTCGCTGCTGCTGTGACCAGGTATGCTCCTTCCCATTACTGGGCACAGAATCACGGTGCCCGGTGGTGCAGGGAGAGCACCGACAGTGCCCCGGCTGCAGCTTCCTGCTTGCGGTTCACGTGGCACATGGTCTTCTGTTGAGTGTTTCCTTCGCTAGTGCCGTCTGCGTTGTGCACGGAGGTAGAAGCGCATCTGTGGGTGAGGTCGCGCCTGTGGTGGTCACACTGGAGGGCGGATCTGTTGTGCTATTTAGGAGCCACTAAGAGAACATAAAAAGGAAGGAAAATACATTTTTTCGATGGTCTTTAGAAAGCCATCGAAAGCCATAGAGTTGGGTTTAGAAAGCCCATAGAGTTGTACCACCATCATGACAATGTAATGTTAGGATGTTTCTACAGCCCCGGAAAGAAGCCCGGTGCCCACGTGCCGTCTCCCCCGTTGCAGCCCCCATCCCAGGCCACTGGTTTTTTTTTTTTTTTTATTGATTATGCTGTTACAGTTGTTCTATTCCCCCCCTTCATTCCCCTCCACCCTACCCCCCTGTCCCCACCATTACCCCCCCTTTAGTTTATGACCGTGTGCCTCAAGTTCTTTAGATTCTATATTTCCCATACTATTCTTGCCCCCCATGTATTTTCTATCTACTGTCTATGCTACTTATTTTCTGTACCTTCTCCCCCCTTCTCCTCCTCCCACTCCCCTGTTGCTAACCCTCCTTGAGATCTTCATTTCTATGTTTCCGCTCCTGTTCTAGCTGTCCTTTTAGTTTGCTTTTGTTTTAGGTGTGGTTGTTAATAACTGTGAGTTTGTTGTCCTTTCACTGTTCATGTTTCTTTAACTTCTTTTTCTTAGATAAGTCCCTTTAACGTTTCATATAATAAGGGCTTGGTGATGATGAACTCCTTGAATTTGATCTTATCTGAGAAGCACTTTATCTGTCCTTCCATTCTAAATGAAAGTTTTGCTGGACAGAGCAATCTTGGTTGTAGGTCTTTGGATTTCATGACTTGGAATACCTCTTTCCAGCCCCTTCTTGCCTGTAAGGTCTCTTTTGAGAAATCCGCTGACAGTCTGATGGGGACTCCTTTGTAGGTGACTGTCCCCTTAGCTCTTGCTGCTTCTAGGATTCTCTCCTTCATTTTAATTTTGGCTAATGTAATGATGATGTGCCTTGGTGTGTTCCTTCTTGGGTCCAACTTCTTTGGGACTCTCTGAGCTTCCTGGATTTCCTGGAAGTCTATTTCCTTTGCCAGATTGGGGAAGTTCTCCTTTATTATTTGTTCAAATAAGTTTTCCACTGGTGGCTGTTCCTTTCCCCCTTCTGGTACCCCTATAATTCGGATGTTGGAGCGTTTAAAGATGTCCTGGAGGTTCCTAAGACTCTCCTCATTTTTTGAATTCTTGCTTCTTCACTCTTTTCTGTTTGGCCATTATTTGCTTTCTTCTGGTCCACGCCGTTGATTTGAGTCCCAGTTTTCTTTTCATTGCTATTGGTTTGCTGTGCAATTCCATTCATTTCAATTAGTTTCGCCTTCATATATTTGTCTAATTTGTGGCTATAATCAACCAGTTCTGTGAGGATCCTGATCACCAGTGTTTTAAACTGTGCATCTGAGAGTTTTGCTATTTCTTCATCGCTTAGATTTATATCTGGGGCTTTGAGATCTTCTTGAGCCATTTTTGGTCTGTTCGTGCCCTTTAAGAGTGAGGAGCGGAGCCTTGGACTCCCAGGTCGCTGGGTTGTGACGCTGTACGTGGGGCGTGGTCAGAGCGGGAAATGGCGGCCCCCTCTGCTGTTTCCTGTCGCTGGGTGAGGAGCAGAACCTCAGATGGTTCACCAGGGCGGGGCCGCTCAGGTTGCTGGGTTATGACGCTGTATGTGGAGGTGGGGTCAGACCGGGGAAATGGCGGCGCCGCTTGCCGTGGGGACTGGCTGGGTCCCGGTCCAATTGCCCACTCCCTCGCTTGTCTATTCGCGCACAAAGGCGCGACCACAGTCAACCCGCAGCCCTGCTCCCTCGCTGTTTCCCCCGAGGTCGCTCGCTTGGTCGCTCACTAGACCCAACCCTGCGCCTGAGTCCGTCTGACCGAGTTTTCTGGTGCAACCCCGCTCCACCAGCTGCTGGTTTCGCCCCTTACCGGTCAGGCTGAAGAATTTGTTGTTAACAGACTTCCGAAAAGTTCAATTCTCTGTGTCCTGGCTGTGTTTTCTGTTGCTAATATTTAGTTGTCTCTAAACTTGGTTGTGTGAGAAGGCACCGATCTCCGCCTATGCCTCCATCTTGGCGGAAGCCTCTCAGGCCACTGTTAACCCGCCCTCTTTTGCTGCGGCTTTGCCTGTCGCGGGCATTTCTCATCAGTGGAGTCACACAGTACGTGGCCTCTGTGTCTGGCATCTCTCGCTGAGCATCATTTTCTCGTGGTCCATCCACGTCGCACCCGGTGTTGGTGGTCTATTCCTTTTTGTGGCCAGGTCACAGTCTACTAGATGGACGGACCTTGGTCAGTTTATCCCTTTGTCGGTTCACCAACGTTTGGATTGTTTTCACTCTTGGACTGTTGTGAACAGTGCTGCTGTGAACACCGTGTGTGCAAGGGTTCGTTTGGCTGTGCGGTTCCATTTCTCTTGGGCACGTTACCTAGGGGTGGGATGCTGTGTCGCACGTGACGAAGTCCCTCCCTGTGGAGGGACTGAGGTTCTCCAAAGTAGGTCCCCCCGGCGGGTGTGAGGGCCACAGTTTTCCATGTCTGCATCTCCCACCTTGGTGTGGCTGTGGTCTCTGGTTGTGGCTGTCCTGGTTGGGGGCAGGGGCGGTATTTCACTGTGCCTGTGTTCTGTATTTCTCTGGCGCCGGCGAATGATGTTGAAGGTCTTCTCAGGTGCTCATTCGCCATTTTCATCTTTTCATTAAAGACATGTCTATTTAGCCCCTTTGCCCATTTTTTAATCGGATCGCCTGTTTGTTCTGAAATTATAATAATTCATTATGTGTATATAACATGACCAAGTTAATGTCATCCAGAAGTTACTTCATTCATGTGTTTGTTATTCATCTGTACCCTTCCTCATTTCACAAATGATTGGGTCAAAGTTAAGTATGTCCTGAATCCCTTGTTTATTAAAGCTAGAAAAGAAAGCGACCTATTTTTTTTTTAACAAGAGCAATTCAAATTGAACACTGAGCGGGTACAAATCGAGTGGCAAGTTGCAGTTGTGTCTGAGCACAGACGCCATTGAGTGTGACCAGCCTGAGAGGAAGTCAGGCACCTGGCCCAGCGAGGCACCTGGAAGATGGAGGCGGAGGACGCCGCTCCTACGCCTCTGCTGATACTAGGGTTTAGTATCTGCTCTGCTGAGCAGATTTAGGAGTTTAGTTTTTCAAATTAAGTAGAGTTGTTACCCTAACTACAATCGTTAGTGCGAGCATCACGGTAGAAATGAGGCCCCTGCACCTCCCTATTCTGTCCAGTGAAGCCGAGTGTGGCCGTCCACTCGCCCCAGAGCGAGGGACTCCGGCCCTGGACCCTGTGCCGCCGCATGTCTCCGTCAGATGGAAGGACAGGGACACAGCGGCTCGCGGTTGTCCCTGAGGAGGGAGGCGTGCAGGTCAGGGCCATTGCAACAGCTCTGCTGACTTAAAGGGATGTCGCAGTGGCACAGGGCACTCCGCCCTGTCCCCTCCACAGTCCTGCAGGGCGCCACAGCCAGGGCCCGAAGGGTTCTTACTGAAAGTGGACAACTCGGAATGTCCCCCCCTTTCTCTCGCGGGAATGTTTCTCTCGGAGGTTTACTCTGTTCTCCCCATTTGGGGTTTATTCCCTATTATCTCTCTTCCCTTCCTGCTCTTCATGGGCACATCTGTGTCCCCTGTGAAGGTGTGGTCCCCTTGAAGGTTGGGTCTCCTGACTCGCAGGCTCACAGGGAGTGGATTAAGGAAAGTGCAACACTTTCCGGGGGCGCAGAGCCCCGAAGACTAGCCGGAGTGCGTGCCTGGCCCCTGCCCGCTGCGGGCTGCCGGGGGTGCCACCCACGCTCAGAGTCGGTGTTGGGGTGTTGGTCCGAGGGAGGGGCAGGGGGGCGGGTGATGGCGCAGCCTGCGTCTTCTCGCTGCTCCGTTCCGTTTCCTCCCCAGGAGTGCTCCCCCGAGGTGACAGAGCTCTTCAGGGAGTCCTGCTTCACCGGCGTGTTCGGAGGGGACGTGAACCCGCTCTTCGATCAGCTCTGCTCGGCGGAGCGGGCGCCAGGGGCCGCGGACTGGTTCCCGCTGCTGTGCGTGCAGTCGCCCGCCGCCAGCTCGCCCTTCCTCGGCTACTTCCACCTCGGCGCCGTGTGAGTGCCCGCTGCGGCCCGTCCTTTATTCCTTTCTCGACTGCAGTTACCGTCCTCCGTGTCAGAAAGAGGCCGGCCTCCCCGGACACACCCAGAGGAGAGCAGTGCGCCTGGGTCGGGGAGAGGTGCTTTCTGTTCGGCCGTTGTGATGACCGCGGTGGAGCCCAGGAACGCCCAGCTGGCCTCACGCGCTGCGTCCTGGTTTTTATCCACTCACCGCGTTAAAGCTTGCAGTTCAGTCGCGCTTAGTACAAATACTGTGTTGGCAATTTAAAAGTAAAGAATACGATTTCCATCAACAACTGTTTTAGCAGATAGTAGCTAAAAGTGTTCACTGTAGTCCCTCATTGCTTTGCAGCGCCCCAGGCACTTCGGCGCCCTCTGAAATGTCCGTCCACACCGACCCAAAGGACTTTTCGGACTTCGGTTATAAACAGGGAGACCCGGTTATGACTGCGGACAAGGCATATTTTACCATTCCTCAGGTGAGAATTTCAGTGGTAACGTGTTGGAGCCTCTTCTTATTTATTGTTAGGAAGAGGGGAAGGGAGAGGAACGTGGATGTACAAGAGAAACATCGATCAGGTGCCTCTCCACGCCCGCAGCCCAGGACCTGGCCCCCAACCCAAGCCTGTGCCCGGACTGGGAATCAAACCGGCCACCTTTCGCTTTGCCGGAGGACATCCAATCCACTGAGCCACACTAGCCAGGGCCCAGTTTTTTCATTCTATTTTTAATTTAACTCCTACTGCTCTTAAAAATACCACTCTAAGTTACTTAGTTTTCTTCCTATGGATTTTCTAGGCACTCAACTCTTTATGTATATCTAGATTATTTTTTTTCATAGTCACTCTTAAATTAATCACTGTCTTTGCTAAATATCAGCGTGAACTTAATAAAACCAAAAGACATTCTATACATTTCCATCAAAGTAAGTCATTCTTCACTTCTGCTAGTTTAATAGCCAATTTTTCATACAGTATAAATGTATAATTTTTTAAAAACATTTTATTCATTTATTTTTTAGAGAGATGGGGAGGGAAGGAGAAAGCGGAAGAGAAACATCAACGTGTGGTTGCCTTTCATGTGTCCCCCTTTTGGGACCTGGCCTGCAACCCAGGCATGTGCCCCTACTGGGAATCGAACTGGCGACCCTCTGCTTTACAGGCCCGCGCTCAATCCACTGAGCCACACCAGCCAGGGCTATAATTTAATGTATTCAATAATATTCCAGACTTTCGAAAACTATTTTAAGGCTATAGAGTTTTATGTGAAACCTTTTTTTTTTTAAGTTCAAAATTCTGTGGAAGAAATATTGGTGAGAACAAAGCTTGTGAGTCTAGTCCTGGGTGGTGTGGCTCAGTGGGTTGGAGCCTTGGCCCATAAACAGGGGGATGATGGGTTTGACCCCTGGTCAGGGCACGTGCCTGGGTTGTGGGTTTGACCCCCGCTTGGGCACCTACGAGGGATAGGGTTTCCCTCCCTCCCTTTTCCTATCTCTAAAATCAGTAGCATGTCTTCAGGTGAGTATAAATACACAGAAAGAAATGGGAGTCTAAAAACTATTTCTCTTGACTATTCATATGAATCCATTTTTATGGTTTTAACAAAAATCGGGTTGTAACGAGGCAAAGAAATGAAGTTGAGTGTAGTGGTGTTTCTGCCAAGTCAGTGGAGGAGGGCAGGGAATTTCCGTGGTTTTTACGGACTAATACTTACTCAGGCTCCTCAGCTAGTGGCTTCCAGACCTTGGTTAGCGGCTGAACTAGATATTGCAGGAAAGCCGGTCAGCTAGTCGGTCGATGAACCAGCCATCGCCGAGCCTACCCCAGCAGCAGGGGCGGGCTGCAGAAGAGCCCCTCTCAGAGCCGGTGCCTGGACTCTAGGGTCAGAACAGCGCTCACCCATCCGTCTGGGTGTTTCCCCACCCCAGGTGTCCCTGGCCGGGCAGTGTGTACAGGATGCCCCAGTGGGGTTCCTTCAGAATTTCGACGTCCGGTGTGTCACTGACTTGGAAGTCTACCGAGAACGAGAAGGCGCGGGCAACGCCAGGATAAAGAATGGCGCCGTAGGAGGTAGGCCACCTTGGTTTGAGAGGAGGACACGGGCCGGGCGTTTAGCTAAACTCTGATCTCATGAGAACAAAGGTCACTTCCGCTGGATCAATGGAAAGTAGTATTTCGCCGGGGAATGGAGGGAGGTGTTGCCTTGGGAAGAATATCCATTCCCTAAGGCAGCTCGGGGCAAAGTGTTTTCTTTGTAAGAACGGCGGTAAAGTTCACTGAACGTAAAACCAGCCGGTCGAGAGTGTACAGCTCGGTGGCATCTCATCCACACACAACGTTGTACAACCGCCACCTCCACGTAGTGACACTTCGCACCAGCCCGGTCGTACAATACTCGGCCTGTGCTTCTCTCACTCAGCATCAGGTTCTCGAGGTTCCCGCACCACGTGACCAGACCCCACTGTGTCACCCAGTCCCTCTGCTGGGGACATTTGGCTTGGTCCTGCTGCTGGCTGTTGGCGTGGGGCCGCCGTGAGCACTCGGGGCCAGGTGTCTGTGCTCACACCCGCTCTGTGTCTCCTGGCGTGTGCCTTGCGGGGGAGTTTCGGGGTCACACGGTCACTTAACTTTTCAAGGCCCGCCGCGCCGTTTTCTACGGCGACTGCGCCCTTTTACGCTCCCACCAGCAGTCCTTGTGTGACAGTGGCTTTCCGGGTTGTGAGTGTGACGGGGGCCCCGCCCCTCCCCTCGGCCGTGGGGAGATGCGGACAGTAGTGGGGCTCCCATCCAAAGGTGTGTGGAGAGTGGGAGGGGGCTGTGCGGTGGGCACATGGGTCAGGCAGGGACCGTGTTCGCTCGGTGAGCTCTCATTTGTGTGAGGAAATGTGATCACGTCAGGCCATGCCATCCTGCACAAGGGTGACTCACGTGTCCTTTCAGGCATCGTCACACCAGAAGTGACCTATGAGGAAGTGGCTGACCTGGACAGGTTCATCGGTACAGGTAATTGAACACGCCACGCTTACCCCACTTCCACAGAAGTACACGTGTCACAGCTCACAAGTGACACGCAGTCCTAGATCACATGCGTTTTCAATGACAATTTAAGGAGGTTCACACTCATTCGGAGCCGTCCCACCTGCACTTTGTCCATCCCTCGTCCTGTCTTCCTTTGCCGTGGCACCTCCTTCGTGACCTGGAACCACTTCCTCCGCAGCCCGGCTTTCGTGGGCTCCGGGCCCCTTCTCTCGCAGGGTGTGCCAGCCTCCCTGAAGTGTTTTCCGGAAGGTTAAAGAATTTTTCAGGACCAGTGTTTTCACGTCTTGCTTTTTTTTTTTTTGGATACTTGAACATCGCAGTTGCAATGCAGATCAGTTATGCAGAGCGTGGCTGCTGGTGCCAGGGCTTTTGCGTTTAACGAATGGCACCTTTTGTGCTCCTTTTTGGTGCGTCGTCACTCTCAAATTCGTTCATCACTTCGTCACACCATTGTGGGTGTCCGCCGTGTGGTACTGAACTGGGCGCAGGCCCCGCTCTGACGGCGCTGACGTTCTTTAGCCTTTCATCTAACACACATTCTGCCCAGCACACGCTCTGAGCTGTGGGCCGGGCGGCAGGGCATAGAGACAGAAGGAAGGGGACAGATCTCACTGGGGACAGATCTCACTCGGGACAGTGCGACGGTCCCGAGCAAACCTGTGCTGACCTGGTAGGGCCGTCAGTAGACTTGTGCCTGAAGGGAGTCTTTGATTAATGGAAGTTTTCTTGTATTTGCAGAAATACTTTTAAGTCCTGGATCAGCCCCCAGAAACGTGACCGTGGAAGAACATTATGTTTTCAGATGGAATAATAATACAATCAGTGACATCCACGTGAGAATTATTAGGGCAGAAATTAATGCCCACCAGCAAGGTAACTTGGTTGAGGGTAGCGAGACTGCTTTCATTGTAAAATGTTTTCTTTTCTTTGAGATTCTCATAATTACAGCATAAAACTAGGCCGTACTTGTTTCTTATTTGTGTTTGTGATTTAGTAAAAAAGACTAATTTTTTTGCCTGTCCAAATGCAATTATAGGGTAAAGAAAACAACACCACGAGGGATCATTTCCTTTCCTAGTGGAACGGCACACGTGACATTTTTGCATTGCTTTGTTTCAGGAGTGATGACACAGAGATTCACGGTGACATTTTTAAGCTACAACAGTGGTGAGGAAAGGGGGACATCTGGAAACCCAGGTGAGACGGTGCCTGCCAGTCACCGATCTGACGAGTGTGCGAGGCCAGCACGGTCCCCCCACACACTGATTCTGCGTGACTCCCCCGTTTTAGTTTGTGACCCTGGCGTTTCTCCTTCTCTGTGGTGACACTGAATTCTTGTTCTGATAACGCCTTTTTTTTTTTCTGCATAAAGTGCTGTAGGTAGTAGCAGGTTGCTGTAAATGCAAGACATTCTTTCTCTTTAGCTTCTGGTCTTTTGAAAAAGAGGTAACACATGTAGAATGTGGCTGAAATTAGCGTTTTAAGGAAGAATAAGCTGCAGATGATGAGTCCCTAACCTGGGGACCGTGGCAGGCCTTCCCGGGGACTGTGATGTCCCTGTCACGTTGTGCATTTTGTGTTTATGGGCACCTGGACCGACTGCCTCTGGGCCGTGGGGCCGCCCTTCATTTGGGGGTTGTGGGCGGAGCTCTTAGAGGTGAAGTGTCGTGAGGTCTCCAACTTATTTTCAAATGGTCCTACAAAAGATACGTGTGTGTCTGTTCATATACGTGTAAAGAGAGAGGGGGAAGAGGGCCTCTGTTTATATAACATAGATAAGATGTATATGGCTCAATATTAACAGCTATGGGTTTTAGACGGTGGCTGTATTGGGCCTCGTGGTAGTACTTTCAGTCTTTCTGTACGTGTGAACATTTTTGTAATAAAAGGTTGGAAACGATAACTTGGATTAACTGCTGATGGGTGGGCAATAGGACCCGACCAGACCTTGGGGTTGAACCAATTTTCTACAGAAAGAATGGCTCCGTTGAAAGGTCCCTTCGGTCTGAGTGGCCTTTGCGGGCTCCTCGGGTGAGCGGGCCACCGTCACTTGGCAAGCAGTCATGAAGTGGCCAGCGCAGCCGGGTGATCAAGACCGACGCTCGCCTGCTTTCTGCTTTTCAGGCTCTGTTCCTGAAATGCATTTTAAACGCCACACGAATACCTTTGTTAACACACAGAAGGTGACGGCTTCCCCCCCTCCAGGCCATGCTGGAGAAGCTTTGCCCTTGTGTCCCCCTTCAGTGTGCGTTCCCCTCGTGCGCTGCTGGGCTGGCTTGCGCTTACCTCGTCACTAACTCTTGTCTGTTGTGCCGTTGTCTAGGTTACCAGCTCGGCAGGCCTGTTCGTGCTTTGGATGCCAACAGGATGCGTGACGTTTCAGCGTTACACCTTTGGCAGCCAGGTAACAGGGTCTGGTTACAGGACTGACTCTGGTAAACTGGAGAGGGAAACAGTGCCGGGTTTCGAGTCTCATCAAGGAAGCAGTCACTTTGAAGCTCAGTTGATTTAGCTGCGGGGCGGCTATTTTTTATGTTCTTTTTTTTGTTTCTGTGCAAATGGTAACAGTGCCTGCAGCTGAGGCGCTGGTCACCCGAGAGGTTCGCCTGTGGGATTGGCTCTGGGGCCCTTTCGTCCGTTCGCCTGTTGCCCAGGGAGGCGCCGATCGGAGACGGCATAGCCAGCCCCACACTGTGGAGGTCTTGGCTGCCGGGGGTGGTGCCCGCCTCCGCCAGAGCCCTGGATCTCGTGCTCAGAATGCACAGCAGCGGCAGGTGCCCCAACACAGCAAGGCGCCTTCGTCCAGCCTTGGGGGGCTCAGCACCACAGTGACCTCGGTTCTGGAAAACTGGAGACTTCGTTTCTGCTTGTTGTCTTTTCTCTGATTTCCAAGAAAAAAACTTTGAAGTAAACCGTTTCTTTTATTTAGCAAAAATAGTAAGAGGATATACTCTTTTTATTTTACAGCTGGTAGCGGTCTGTGCACATCGGCAACTTTCAAGCCCATTCTGTTTGGAGAGAATGCGCTCTCCGGGTGCCTCTTGGAAGTCGGGGTCAGTGAGGGCTGCGGCCAGCTCAGGTGGGTGTCTCACGGCGGCCTGTGTCGGCATCGCCCAAGTTTGCTTAGACTTCGTTCACCTCGAGAATCCTGAAGACGGGGAGGGGGTGGGCAGTTCGGGTCTGCGTGAAACATCGATGTAGAAGTGATAGTGAGCAGTGAATAAATGCGACCTTCCAATACGATTGACAGCTGATTCAAATATCGGTATGAGGGAAAACAGACTTCTTTTCTTGGGACTCAGGCCACTTCTTCCACATTCATGCAAATTCTGCTGCTGAAGTTTGTTTGGCTCGTTGGAACCCAGTATTCCTAGGACGGTAAAAAGGGTCTAGCGAGGGTCATTGGCGGATTAGCATTTAAAGAGTACCTAAGCCCTTTTATATGGCGTATGAAGAACTTTCCTCTTAATTGAGTGGCATCTGGAACGTGTTTTTATAGATATGCATACACATTCTTTTTAATTTTTAATTTACTTTTCCCTGTGCCCACCGCCAGTTCAGTTTTTAAAATTGAGGTGAAATTTGTGACGTGACTAGTCCTTTGGAAGTAACATTCTGTACGTTCATGGTGCTGTGCAGTCATCGCTGCTGTTTGGCGCCCACGTGTTTCCACCGGCAGAAGGAAACCCCTGCCCTGCGCAGGCGCTGCCTGGCCCCCGCGCAGGCCCCGCCCCGCCCAGGCCCCGCCCCCACCAGTCTGCTGGTGTTGGGCCCGCCAGTCGCTCCAGCCTTGGGCTGCTGTGAACATTCACGTACGGTTTTTGTTTGAACATGTCTTCAGTCTTTTTTTGTTTTTTAAAAGATTTTCTTCATTTATTTTTAGAGAGAGGGGAAGGGAGGGGAAAAGAGAGGGGCAGAAAACATCAATGTGTGGTTGCTTCTCACATACCCCCTTCTGGGGACCTGGCCTGCAGCCCAGGCCTGTGTCCTGACTGGGAATCGAACCCACGATCCTTTACTTTGCGATCTGGCGCTCAGTCCACCGAGCCATGCCAGCCAGGGCTGTCTTGAGTTCTTTTTGAGCACGTGCCCAGGGGTGGGATTGCTGGATCGTATATTAGTTCTGTGGTTAGTTTTCTAAGGCACCTCCACACTGTTTGTCACAGTGGCTGCACCATTTTACATCCCCACCAGCCACGTGAGAGGGTTCCCATTTCTCCACAGCCTTGCCAACACTTGATATTTGCCACCTTTTTGATAAAAGCTGTTCTAGTAGGTGTGCAGTGGTATCTCACTGTGCTTTTCCTTGCATGCATTTTTACACTTATTTCATCTGTAACGTATCCTGAGTGGTGTAGTTTATTGGGGAGCAAAGGAAAGTTGGGGGAGGTGTCGAGAAGGGAAGAGAAAACTGCAGGTGTAAGTCAGAGCGCGAGGCCGGAGTCCCCATCGCAGCCTGGCCGCGCCGGTTCATGCGACGCACACCCTCCGCTGACATCACTGGAAGGAGGGATGCTGCTGCCAGTTCCTGGTCTGCACTCGATTTAATGTACGGACATTCAGGTTCCTTTCACTCTCGATCACCCCGGCCCATGCACGTGTCCAGGGAACATTACGTGTGCTCCACCCACTTCCCACCTCGTGTGTTTTGCGACACTCGGTAGAGTTGGTAAACCACACGATACCACACAACTTATCAACATTTTAAGTTTAAGTCAAGGATGACTCTTGTGTGCTCGCCCCTCCCTGGCAGGTTTTCACTGAGGCCCCCGGCAAGCACAGCCTGGGGACTTCCTGAGAAGGACTTTGGGATGGACCGGCTGGCCGGCCGTGCGTTGCCAACTGTCTGACTCTCTTGCAGGAAGAAGGCCGTGGAAATGCTTGATCCACTAATGCAGGCAACTCATGTGGCGACAAGGGGCAACTCCGATTACAGCGACCTCGGTGACGGCTGGCTCGAAATCCTACGTGAGTCTGAGCTGTGCGTGTGGGTGTGTGACCGGGCTGCCGGGGCTCCGCAGCTGAAGCGGGTTTGGAGGGTGACGCTCCAGGCAGGAGGCCTCCTCGTGTCTTCACCTCTCATTTGTGATGACTCTCGTTTCTAAAGAACGAAGTCCACAGGGAGGTCCGACTGCCCAGCCGTCGTGCAAGCTGACAGTCTTCGTAAAGGAGGTTTGAAGGTTGTTGGCGCATTTCAGTTTGTGCTGTTTTTGACTGGCAGGCACATGGGCCCTTGAGAACTGACTCCGTTAACTTAGAAAAGCAATTTTAAAGGGAACGAGGTGATAGAAAATGCTGTGCTAAGTGAAAGGAGCCGGACACAAATGGCCACTCATCAATCCCGTCTGTGTGCGGTGTCCAGAGCGGGTAACCCTACAGAGACAGAACGCAGATCAGCGGGGCCAGAGCGGTTGGGAGGAGAAGAGGGGTGGCACTGATGGGCTCAGGGCTCCTTCTGGGCACAGTGAGAATGTGCTCACGTTGATCTGCTGATGGTTGCACACCCCTGTGAACCCGCTGAAACCCACTGACTTGTGAACCTCAGCGGATGGATCATATGTCAATGAGGCTGAATGACAGAAATTAAGGTGCAACAGGTCTGATAACAACGGGGATCCCGGAGGCCAGATGAGAAGACTGGGCAGTCCAGGCCCTTTTTCCTTTGGTCGGAGGCACTTCAGGGGCATGTGTGTGCCAAAGACAAGACACACAGCCCACGTGTGCCACGGAGTGGAAGGGAACCAGACTTAGCTGCCACGACAGGCCTGTTTCACCTGCAAGTGCACGATGCCGTCTGGTCCCTGGGCTCCAGCTCACTCGATCATCAGTGGAGAAGCCTCGGGTCACAGCTGGCTGTGGCAGCGCTAGAACCCAAACCGGGGTTCCAGCCTCTCTCCTTGCCGCTCAGCTGGCAGGTCGGGCTCCTCCCTCTGGCGTTTCTGGAAGGCCTGAGTGTGTTGATTCCTTAATGAGAAAGAAGGCTGTTTTGGTCACTCTAGTTAATACAGCTGCCTTTTGGAGCCAGAAAGAGCTAAGTGGCTCCGCAGGACCTGCTCTCCTAAGTCCCCTCCTGTCCCCTGGCTCCTCCTGCGCCCTCCGCTCTGTCTGGCTGGGCAGCAGCTGTCCCCCGCACCCTCTGAGGTCCTGTCTGTGGGCTGGAGTTTGTGCAAAGCACCTTCTGGACAAGGGCCTGTGCTCTCCCCAGCCCTGGGATCAGGGCCCAGATCATAATGACTCTCTCTAGCTGACACCCTTGGGTGGTCAGGGGTCTCTGTTGGACCCTGGCAGGGCCCCTGGTGGCCACCTGTTCCGAATTCGCTGGGCCCAGAGCTAGATCCTCATTTGGGAGTAGAATCCTGAGGTTGGGGCTTGTCAGCCGCTGGGCTCTGTCGTTTCAGAGTGATGGAGGGACAGAGGGAGGGAGTAAGACACCGCAAATGAAAAGCATGGGGAATCGAAAGGGAGAGAAGCCAAGTTGGTCAGAAAAGAAATCCCAGGTGATGACATTGTGTTGCCTTCAAGGTAGAAAACAGCTTCCTTTTCATGCCCAAGTCAAAGTCACCCTGGGTCCTGGTTAATAAACAGAAGAAACGTGATATCAGACATGTGTGTCAGGAGGAGGAAACTGGACACCGTAAAGAAACAATGTCACAGACCTTCAAGAGCCCGGAGGGAACAAAGAACCTCCCTCCCCAGAGTTGCCTTAGAACTTGCCGTTCACCTCTTGTACTTGACCTTGCTCTTTTTTCTTCCTAGGAGCCAACTTTCAAGGTGGATGAAAATTAATTTCTCATCCAATTTCATTCTTTCCCTTTTGTATCACTGCTCTGGCAACACATTAGGAAATTGCATTTTAACTGCAACACACTAACTAGAGTTGTTACTGTGGACTTTAAATGTCTTCATCAACTGCTACAATTACAGTGACTTCATGGGACAAGCCTCTGGCCTTTACTGCTAAAACCCTGGGTAGATTTTGGTGAGGAGCAGAATCGCGACGTATGGCTTTATTATGTGAGTGAGGGATTTTAAAGTTTCAGTGACTGACGTAACTCACGAGGAAACACGTTGAACATGGTTAATAGTTATGGCGTAACACACAACCAGAGCCTATTAGAGGTTTAAGCCTCATTATTGCGGTTCCTCTCTAATAACACTTCCCATTTTTTGGTGTCGTAGAACAATTTATTAGGTTACTCTTTCCTGAACATGCCACCTCATGTTTCTGCAGGCATGGGCACCCCCGACTCGGGTGCAGACCCGTCTGTGGGCAGCGTGAACGGCACCTGCCTGGACGTTCCTGCTCAGCTGCAGATCCGCATCCTCTTCTCCGACGCCGGCGCGGTGGAGGGGATCGCTCAGCAGGAGATCCTGGGTGCAGAGATGAGGTCTGATTGCACCTCGCGTGAGTGTGCGGGGCAGAGAGTCGGGGAAGTGCGGGGTGCTCCACAGAGCAGGGAGAAGCTCGCCTGGAACCTGAGGGTCTGTTGGCAGGTTTCCGGTATTAGCAGCCTGTGCACCAGTGGAAAGCATGTCGTTTGTGTTTGTAGTGCAAACTTGTCCTCACTCACAAGTGCTTGCAAAGCGCGGTATAGGGAGTTCTGCAGGGTTGGGGGGCACAGAGATGAACAAGGGCTGTCTGGTGCAGAGCGTGAGTTGAAATCTGTGACCGTAATGGGCCCAGTGGCCGGGAGTACTGCCCAGTGGGCAGAGACAGCGGCGGCAGGCTGGTGGGTTCGAATCATGCACCTCCCTGTTAGGGGCCCTGGGAGCTGGACAGCTACGTCATCTCTTCTGAACGGCAATTTTCTCACCTGTAAAATGGGGAAACCACCGTCATGTGTCCTCAGGCCTCTGGCAGCTCTCAGTGACAGGGTTCCGACTTACACTGACGTCATCAGAGGGGGAGTTTACTGGTGCAGGTTCTGAAAAGTCCACACGCACCTTGCTCCTGGCTCATGGTTTCCTTGCCGTCACCGTGGAACCGTTCATGGGGGTGAAGGGTCTTTTTCCTTCATCCCCTGGTTTCTTTTTCCTTCCGGTGGCATCTTCCTTGGGAAGGTCCTCCTCACGCGGAGGCCAAGGCGAACACCAGCAATTCCAGGCTCGCACCTGTTTGCAGGTCCAGTGGGAAGAGGGAGCTTCTTTCCCCATCGTCCTCAAAAGTAGTGTGGGCAGACCTTCATTCTTGAGTTTGGGTCACGTGCTCCCTTGTGAACCAATCACTGTGGCCAGGGCAGTAGACCACTCTGATTGGTTAGTCTTAGTGATGGGCCCACCCCCTAAATTCAAGGAGGTCCCTTCTGGTCCTGCCAAGGGCGAGTAGAGGGGTGGTTCCCCAAGGGAAAATTGGGGTACAGTTACCAGCAGAAGGGTGAAGGGGTGCTGGGTGGGCAGAAGTAGCAGATGCTAAGCACTCAGGGCGCCTGGTACTGCTCGGAGGCTTCTGGAGCATCGTGGCCCTGTGCCTAGGACGTGGAAAGCCTGTGAGCGGGTTAGCTGCTGTGGTCATTGTTATCACACAGTGTGATAGGAACAAGTGGGAAAGCGAATTAGCTTTAGAAGCACCAGTGAGACCGACAGGACAGGACAGGAGAGAAGAGACAACGCTGGCACAACTCGGGCGGCGTGGTGGCTGGGCGACAGGCCCCTGAGGGGCGGTCATACCACCCTCTTCCCCCTGTGTGCACATCCGAAGGTGTCCGCCACACCAAGGTGGGGTTTGAAACTTGTTTAAGAGACTCCGGTCTGTGTGGTGGCTGTGCCAGTTCCCGGTGCGCTCAGCAGAGTGGGAGTCAGCTCTGCCCACGTGGCCTGCACCCTCTTTCCCAGGGTCTCCCCGGTGAACTGGCAGTTCCAGTGCGGGCTCACCTGCGAGCTCCAGGCCGGCCTGCTCCCTCTCAGCGCGTCCGTGCAGTTTATTAAGATACCCGCACAGTCTCCCCGGCCACTGACAAGGTAACCACCCTGGCTGACATCTTTGGGAGCAGAAAAATATGTGCATTTGAAAATAAGGTTATTGCTTCAATCAGCCTTTAATGCCTCTCACCAAAAGCGTGCTTTGCTGCAGCTCTTGTAATCTTCTTAAATGTTTTCTAGATTCCGGGTCAACTTTACGGAGTATGACTGCAACAGGAATGACGTGTGTTGGCCACAGCTGCTATACCCACTGACCCGGGACTATCAAGGTAGGGCGAAGCTGATTTCCAGAATGTACATCATCATGTTATGTATAAAAAACTTGAAGAAGAAAACATTTACTGACAGTGTTGCCGGTTAAAAACGATCCCCAACATTTTGGCTTCTTTCTGTGTGAATGTCTAGTTGCAAAACAAGACTGTTGCTCACTTGCGTTGTGTCTGGCAGGGGAGCCCTATTCCCAGTCCTTGGCCAAGGGCTTACTGCTGGCGTTCCTGGCTGTGTTGGCCGCGTTCCTCTGGCACCCCTGGCCCCGAAGACACACAACGTGACCAGTGGCCACCACCCAAGTCCTTATGGACCACAGGCTTCTACTTTAGTGATCTGTTGTACTCCGATGCGCAGTTTTAATAAATGAAGTGTTTTATTTTTGTAGGAAATTTCTATCGAGTGCTCTGGTGAATTTATTACACCCCCGTAGCTGTCCAGGTGTGCGAAGTGTCATTAGAATCTTCCATTTATCAGAAATTACTAAAGTCATAGGAATTTTGGGCCAAATATGTTATTTGTAGAGAGTCAGTCTTTTCTTCAATTTTTTACATATTTCTGCTCTGTTGATGGATTAATTTCCCCTATCCCAAAGATAGGATTAAAACTCATAAAGCCTTAAAAATGTCTGTGGTACAAGAGCACAGAATATGTTGTTAAGGGACAATATGGGAGTTGGGAGGGAAAATACTAGGGAGGCAAGCAGAACAAACCCAGGAGCAGATTGAGGCCCCTGAAAATGTATGCCAAAGGCTTTGTACTCAGTAGAGTTAGACCTGGGCTTAATCTTCAGTTTACAACCCCCCCGACCATGATTAAGTACAAGACTCTTAGGGTCCATTCGTTAAAACAGGCCGGTTTTCACTGAAGGACAGTTTTTCCTAGTCAAGTCTGTACAGGGATTTCTCCTGTGGGCCCTCACAAGGGGACAGACAGACAGCTCAGGTGCAGCCAGGGGAGCGGGTGTCCCCGCTCACTTCGCCCCTGCCGTGGCCACATAGTGAATTGCTTCCGAATTTCCCTTGCAGGCCAGCTGCCTTCAGCCGTCACACCAGATAGACTTGGTATTCCGTCGATAAACCTGGTTTTGAAAAGTCATTCTAGAAGCTGAAAATTGGTTTTTGTTAAAGAAAAGGAAATGCCCAGTGACCGATTGATTGCGGTGATTCAGAAAGGCCGTGGCCGTGGGTGTCAGGAGCTCTGGGAAATTAGGAATTTCCAAGTGACAGGTCATCCATCCTGATCTTGTGAGCTATGCTGGCAGGATTTTGGTACCGAAGAAGGGGAAAACGTGCTTTGGCAGTAGACTGGGACCTGGGGGCCTCCTGCACAGCTCTAACTTCCAATTCCATACACTTTGTATGCATTTGAGAAACAGTTCCTGAGTGGCCAGGACTCACCGGGCCCTGGAGTTAGGAAGGCAATGTCCCTTATCCAATAAAACTTACAAGCCCTAGGGGGGAGTAGCAATAAACACAGATAATTTCAGACAGTGGTAGGTGCTACGAAGAAAATAAAATGAGGATGTCATGGGGTGGCTGGGAGGGCTACTTGTGCTAGGGTCAGGGACAGCCCCTCCGAGGGGACCTTTGAGCTGGGGACCCGAAGGAGCCGGCTTTGGGAAGGTCTGGGAGCAGAGAGCTCTAGGCAGGGGGAGGAATCAGCAAGGCCGAGGGCTCCGACCTGGAAAGAAGGCAGGTGCGGCTGGGGCCCGGGGAGTCCAGGGTAGGCGGCAGGGGGTGGGCGGAGACCAGATGCAGTGGGGCCCTGCTGGCCACCCTGCAAAGTTTGGCTTTTCTCGGGAGTGGGATGGGAGAAGCCAGAGGGGTTCAGGTAGGCTGCGTGAGTTCGGCCCTGTGTCAGAGGTCACTGTGGCTGCTGGAGCTTGCGCAGAAGACCCAAGCGACAGAGACGCCACCGCAGTGCCGCGGTCCGAGCCTGCTTTCTGCTCTACACGGGGACAGGACCCGAGAGCAGCTGATAAACATCCCCGGAGTAGCTCCTTGGACATGAGTGTCCTGAACAGGCAGATCTCCGGGAACCAAGCTGTTCCGCGGTTGCAGGGCGCTGTGCACGCGGCCGCGCAGGGGTCAGGGTTGTCGGCCAGGTTCGGACACCGCCCATGCGGAGGGCTGCACAGCTCGGTCACTTGACCTGAACCCCGGGGCTGCGTGCTCTCGCCGGGCGAACTTCATGGCACTAAGCACCCGGGCCAGTGGCCGCCCTTTTTCCGGGTCCGGTTCAACGTCCCGGCCCCGAGGTCTTCCGCCGGGTTGGCGTCGGTTGGCCCCCTGGCCGCAGCGTCCCGCCGCAACTCCGGGCGCCATTGGTCGGCCCCAGGGGGGCGGAACCGGAACCGGCCGTCGCTGGGGGCGGGGCCTCACGCGGCAGTGGCGGCGGCTGGAGCGGCAGCCGGAGCGGCGGCCGCGGCAGCAGGACTGGGGGTAGCGGCTGCAGCCCGGAGCCCCATGGTGCGGGTCCGCGGCCAGGCGGCAGAAGGAGCCCGAAGCCTGGGCCGTCCCCGCTGACCGCGCGGGCCCGCGCCGCCCGGAGCCGCCGCCGCCCGTCGGGCCCGCAGGGGCACGAGTTGGCCCGCCATGGGGTCCCTGTTCCGGAGCGAGAGCATGTGCCTGGCGCAGCTCTTCCTGCAGTCGGGCACGGCCTACGAGTGCCTGAGCGCCCTGGGCGAGAAGGGCCTGGTCCAGTTTCGAGATGTGAGTGTCGCCCGGAGACTCGGGCCCCCTTTCTGCCAGCGCCCAGTTCGGGCCCCGCCGCTGCCCCTGTTTCCCAGACCGGGAAGCTGAGTCCCCGGCCCCGGGCCGGAGCTGCCGCAGAGCGGGACCGAGCCCAGTGTCCCGCCTTAGTTGGGAACGCTCTGTAAGGGCTTTGGCAACTTCGAATTGTGCCATCAGATGCTTACGCGCCTGCTAAGCAGGAAAACAAATCTGATGAGGCCTCTCGGAGCTCTTCTGGAACTTACGGGGGTGGTGGGGGACAAAGACTGGACAAAATAAGTCAAAGAAGAAAATTGCTTTGAAGAAATTTAAAAGGGGGCCGGTATGAGAGTGGCTTGCCTGGTCGTGGTCAAGGTGGGCTTCTCGGAGGAGGGGACCTTTGGGCCAAGACCTGATGGGAAGGAGCCGGCCCTGGGAAGGTCTGGGCGAAGGCGGTGGCCGGTGAGCCCAGAATCTGACTTGGCAGTGAGCCTGTGTAAGCTCCTGGAGGGAAGGGATCCTTGTCGATTTCGTTCACTGGTGTGGGACTCTTGCCTGGTAGGGAGTGGGAGCTGTCTCACCAACAAGTAGCAATAAACACTTGTTTATGTATCTCTTGTTTATTGTTTGTCTCCACCAGGGACTGCTTACCCCCAAGGGTAAGGGCCTTGCAGACTTGTTCACTCCTGAGTCCTGCAGCCCTTGGCACTTGTGGGCCTTAATGGGCATCTGTTGAGTGAAGCCACAAGCTTTTGTTGAGGGCTTGCTCTGTTCCAGATGCTGGATTTGGTGCTGGGCACTCAGTGGCCAGCAAGGAGGACAAGGTCCCTGTGTTCTGGTTGCTCGCTGCCTGGGAAGAGGCAGATAAACACCCTGATTATGAAGTGGGATCGGGAAGAGCTGGGTGTGGAAGGGAGATTATTAAGCCTGGTACTTACTCATGGAACTGAAATGTCACTTAGGTGGACATTTCCTTTCCTGGGCCACAGCTCTCATCCCCTGGTTGTTTCTCTTCATCTTTTTGCGGGGTGGGGCGTACTTTACTTTGAAGGGGGACACCCTCCCCCAGCTCTGATGTTGGTGATCTTTGGTTGGCACTGTAAGGCAGTCTCGGTCAAGAGAATACCCAGAGGGACAGGTGAGGCTACAGGCCAGGCCCCGATCTGTTCCTGGTTCCTGGAGCCACTGGGGCTCCAGCACCTGGTACCCACTGACCTGGCAGGTGGTGTGTCCAGCTGTGAGTAGCACCTCAGAGGCTCAGGAAACAGTCCCCCCATAAAGGCGCTCCCTCCTCTGGGGCAGGTACACCTGTTCCATCCTGTTAGAGCTCCAGCCAGGAGGTCCGCCCGCTCGAATCTCAGAGGTTTGAACCAGTGCCTTAATCACCACCCAGACTCCAGTTTCGCTGCTGGCCTCGACATTGGGATCCTTTCGAACTGAAAATCAGTGGGGGAGAAAGAGTGCAGTGCATCTCTTCCTGGAAGGAAAGTAAAACCGGAATGCTAAATGATCTCTCATGGGGCGCTGGGTTTTCGGAGCAGGGTGAGAGGGGCCGGGGGTGTCTTGTGCAAGAGCAGCCGCAACACGCCAGTGCAGGACCTTCCATCACACCTGGCATTTCATGCACTTTCCTGGCGTTTTGCTGACTTCGTGTTCGCCTCATGGGGTCCCTGACCTCAGTTTTTTCTGGCTTGCATGGGCTGAATGATTTTCCGCTTTTGAAAAGATAGTCCTGAGGGAAAGGAGGCGGGCCGAGGGTGTCTGCAGGGACAGCCAGTGAGCAGACCTGGAGGAGAGGTTATTCAGCGAGCCCCTCTCTCGATGCCAGTCTGCCACCGGCCGTCCCTCAGCCGCCACAGTGGGGACTAGGGTGCAGATCAGTGAAAACTGCGCCGGACACCCCTGCCCAGCCTCTGGCTTTCCTGGGTTAAATGTTAGGCTTCAAGTGAAGCTACTTCCTGTCACTGGCCCCGAACGAGGGTGATGTCTCCTCCCTAAAAAGGAAAGAGAAATAAAACTTTGTAAAAGAAACTGCCTACCAGGAGGAAGCAGTGAATCCACACCTAAGGTGGGGGCGCTAGCTTTCCCGGCCCCCCCACGTCGGTGGCGTGGCCGCAGACACCTGCCTCTCCGTAAGGGTTCTGTTTGGAGAGCCACGGTCCACTCAGACTTACCGTGTTTGATAGGGAAGGAAAATGGGAATGGAGACGGGGCGTCACTCGTGACGGGTTTTGACGCCTGGGCTTCCCCGTCACCTGCTCAGCTTGGTGGGAACAGATGTATGTGCCCTGGAGCATTAGGAACCGGAAAGTGGTCACTTTAGACAAGTGTGAGCTCCAGAAATGAATGTGACTGTGACAGACAGAAGTGAAATTACAGGGTTTTTTTTTTTAAATCCTTCTTGTGGTTAATTCTTTTAAAAAGAATTCAAAAGACTGAACAAGAACTGTACCTTTGGGCCCTGACCGCTGTGGCTCAGTGGATTGAGTGCCACCCTGCGAACCAAAGGGTAGCAGGTTCGATTCCCAGTCAGGGCACATGCCTGGGTTGCAGGCCGGGTTCCCAGCAGGGGACAGGTGAGAGGCACATTGATGTTTTTCTCCATCTCTTTCTCCTTCTCTTCCCCTCTCTCTAAAAATAAATAACATAAAATATTTAAAAAGGAAAGAAATATATGCGGAAAAAATATATACTGGGGAAATTTGGAAAATATAACAATAAGATAATAACTTCTCTGATTCCAATACTTAGAAATAAACTTTTCAGTTAATATTGGCCAAACGTGAATTTTTAAGTACTATTTTTAAATGTACATACATATTTATGTAATTGGAACCACACCAAAAATATCTTTAATCTTTTTTTTAGACACAAATCATGAATCATTTCTCGATTTTATTAAATATTCTTTCACACTGTTGCTTATGGGTTTGAGCTTGGTGTGCGAAGTCAGGCTGAGGGTGTGTGGGCTGCCTGCGTCCCCGCAGGAGACACTCTGGCCACTCGTCCCACTCCCACCCCGACCCCCAGGAGCGTTGCGAAGCCAGTCCCAGGTGTGTGCTTTCATTTACAGATTGTTTCAGAAAGTATCTCTCGAAGGTAAGGTCACTTCAAAGCTGTAACCATAATACCATTATCACACCTAACATTTTAAAGTAATTTCTTAATAAAATCAAATGCCTTAGTCACTTAAAACGTCATTTTTAATGAGGGCACAATAGCCCTGGCTGGCTGTGCCGAAAGCCAAAGTCCCTGGTCGGGGCGTGTTCGGGAGGCAACTGGCAGATGTTGTTTCTCTCTCCCTTCCGCTCTAAAACCAATGAATGTGTCTTCAGTGGGGGATTAACAACAGTTAGAGTTAAGAAAAGTGCATAAGTTACATGACTCATATTTGTTGTACAACTTCACTGGCGTCTGTAATAAAACCCAGTCGTTTCAGCCGCGAAGTTCCCTGACTTTGAGAAAACTGACTGGGCTGTGTGTCCGTCGCCCTGGCCGACCCCCCTGTTCCTGGACAGTGGGCCCCCCTGTTCCCCCAGCCCCAGGCAGCCGCTTGCCTCCAGGTAGCCTGCAAGTCTGCCTCTCCTGGACCTGCTCCTAGAAACGGAACCACACCCGGTGCCCCTTTCTGCCTGCCTCTGTCGCCGAGCGCGTCCGTGGGTCCTCCTGAGTGTCACCACAGGGTGCTCTGTGGTGTAAGGACAGCATGCAATTTCCTGCATCCGTGTCCTTGTAATGGGCTTCTCTCTGTTCCCAAGATCCATGTCTTCCAGACAAACCCGTGTCCGTCTTTGTCATCTTTCTTGAGGCTAAATCTCTCGGTGGAATGACTCTGGGCCGTAGGGGACCTCTCGGGTGTCTAGGTAGCCGTTGCCGAGTGGCCCTCTGGGCGGGCAGTGTTGGTTTGTGCTCCCGCAGACCCTCTCCAGTAATACTTTGTTTTTTAAATCAGTTCATTTTTTTTTTTAGTTTCAGAGTGTTCCAAGAAACTTTTCTATTCTTTTTTTCAGCTCAACCAGAATGTAAGTTCTTTCCAAAGAAAATTTGTCGGCGAGGTGAAGAGGTGCGAAGAGCTGGAGCGGATACTGGGTGAGTTTATTTTCATAACCTCAATCATCGTTTTTATACGAGCAAACCCTGCTCCCTTGAGAAAAACTAGAAAATGCAGATTAAACAGAAAAGAAGAAAGAAACTGCCCGTGTTCTCACTCTTCAGAGGCAAACACTGTTAACCTGGGTTTATGTTGCTTTTCTATGCCTTTTACTGCTCTCCTGTGGAGGGAGGGATTCACGTCCGGGTCTGCCAGGTGACTCTGTCACGGGCACTGGCATCTTTTCACGGCAGGGAGCCACTGACCCGTCAGCATTTCCATTGGCTGCAGGCCATGCGTTGCACGAACGTGCCGTCATGCATGCGTCCGATGCCTTGTAGTTAAGTGTAACTTAAAAACAGAGTGTACACGTTCACGTGTGACTTAACCATTCTACCAGTGCACACAGGAGGTGGAAAGCGGCAGGCGGGCTGGTCGACAGTCATTCCTCGACCTAAGGTTCCCGTTGAGAAGGTGTAAGATCGTGGTTTCCCGACTGTCGGCCCCTGAGGCCCCGTAGCAGCTGGAGCCGCCACATTACCTGCGTGCGCTTCACCGTCCAGGGCGGAAGGAGCCGGCAGCAGTTCAGGCTCCGAGGTTCCACTGGGATGGGGGTGAACATGATCTCCGACCACGGCCGGAGAACAACACTTGTTCAGAGAAGGATGGACAGGAAAACGTGGGGACGAGAGAGTTGGGGGGTGCAGACCGTGGCTTTTCGTTCTAGTGGCCGATGATGATTGCGGAGTTTACGTTTCTTAACTGGGGATTTTCAAGACAGACGTGATCTTTGAGTCACCTCTCGCCGCTTCCTGTGTCTGAGGGCTGCTTGCAGGGGCAGTTGAGCGGGACAGAGCAGCCCTCTCCGGCCACCTCCGTCTCACAGTGCAGGTGGACTGTCGCTAAAACTCCGTGGCCCACTGCCGAGCGTGTGTTTTTGCCAGTCTGACAAAAATAGGCACAATTTTGATTCATTCACACAGGATGGCTGTTGTTGTGTTGGCTGCTGTCGTTTTTTTATTTGACAGTTTTAAGGGAAAAGGGGTCAGTGCCCCTGACTGAGTACCCAGGTATCGTGTGTTTTGAACATCCTTGGGGTGCGCGGGGGGCGAGTCTCCGTGACACAGTGACATCGTGTTCCTGGCTTTGCCGCCCGGTGTGGGTTGTTGGACAGGCCACGTGTTCGGAACCAGGTTTTTAAAGGCAGGGAGAGAGGCTGACACACTAGCCGTGTCCAGGACTTCCTGAGCGTAGACTTGTTTCAGAGAGGAGGCAGGTTTGGGGAGAAAAGGGCTCTCGAGTGTAGGTGTCAGTGTGTGCAGGCGGCGTGCGTCCGTGTCCACCCTGTGCCTCCCCCGCTGTCTCGTTGGTACGGCAGCCTCGCCTTTCTCTTGCTTTTGCTTTTTCTTTTTTATTTCGAGGCAAAAAATTTATGTGACCCGAGGAGAAACCAGAGTTTCTTTTTTTAAATGAAGTTAGTAATACGTCTCCAAAATACCATATCTGGCGATGACTGTTACCAGGTATCATAAATAAGTATATTATATTTATTTGGTAAATAAATATGATAGTTATCAAAATATCATATCCGGTGATGACTTTACCAGGGAAAAAGCACTTCACGGAATTGGAAATTTTAATCAAAAAATTTCATCTTGGCTGGTTCCCTGTTGGCTTGGCGACCCCGGGTTTCAAGGGCAGGAGGGAAGCTGCGTGGAAGCATCACACTCGTGGGTGCCGACCGGAGTGCCTGGCTTTCCGCCGTGTCTCGGGTCGCGCGGAGGCTGTGACTGTCCCGGTGGGCACTCCCGTCCTCCTGCGGCATCTGCTGTCCCGGGTGGTGTCACCAGACCAAGCGGCTTTGTTCGCCTGTGCGCGTCGAAGCCCCACCAAACACAAGCAGGACTTTGCAGCCCAGGAAGGAAAGGCTGTTTCAGGCAGCGGCACTGAACCCGGGGGCCCGGTTGAGCCGGTGTGCCAAAACCTGGCTCCCCGATGACGTCCGGGGGATGCGTTGTGTCGGGGCTGCGGGAGGCGGGTGTGCTCGGCCGCGGGGTCCTGGTCTTGGTGGAGTGGGGGGCGTCAGGGGAGGGGTGGTCAGGCGGGTTCCCAAGGGTGTGGTCGGTGGGCTGGGTGTCCTGGGCCTGGAGCCCCACCAGCCGAGGCCCAAATGGTGTCTGGAGTGTGACCAAAACGCCGTCTGTGTGGTCAGCAGTCCCAAGGCCTCGTTCTGAAGGCAGGTCACTGCCGACCGCCATCTGACGTCCTCAGTGTATGGTGATGAAGTGGGGGTGGATGGATGGGGAGACAGGGTCACGCCGAGGAAGCGGGGCTTCTGCGCAGTCGCGGTGGGGACGATGGCAGCTCTGTCCCTGGGCTGCTCCGGCTCGGCCACGTGTGTCCTGCACCTGCTCTTCCTTCTGCACCTGCAGACACCGCTGCGGCCCCAGGGCCCTTCAGCTCAAGTGTCAGAATGGAGAGAAAGGGGGGAGTGTCGGGGTGCGTTCCCCAGGTCCCGTTTCTGGTGTCACCGCCTGCTGCTCTGTCTGGGCAGCGTCGTCTTTGGAGAGGAGGCCGCCGCGGGCGACCTGTGGGTCTGTCGACACAAGCAGGGGTTTTGGCGCCTTTGGACGTTCCCCTGCGGGTGGCCCAGGAGAAGTGGGCTGTGCAAGTGCAGGCCGGCGCGTCCCTTACTCTGCTGTGACCTGACTGTGTGCCTCTGGTCTCCGCAGCGTACCTGGTCCAGGAGATCCAGAGAGCGGATATCCCGCTTCCGGAGGGAGAGGCCAGTCCTCCCGCGCCGCCTCTAAAGCAGGTTCTGGAAATGCAGGTAACTCTCAGAGTCGGCTTATTTACTCACCTCATGTTGCTTCTCTGTCTGTCTTCTCAAAACCGTGGAATGCCAACGCAAGAGCCCTGTGCTGGCAGACCGCCTGTGACATACTTTCCCCGAACCCAGCTTTGTTTTAAAACACGAGGCGCACGCTCCCTTTCCTGGGGTGTTTGACGCGGGCTAAGGAGAGCCGGCTCGTGAGGCCTGCTTCCCGGGCAGGGGCGTCCTGCGTGGGCGGCCGGGGCTCCTCCAGGCCGCAGCACGCCTCCCCCGGCGAGTCATCGAGGCTCGGGCCTGTCCCCACTTCCCGGAGCCTCCCCTCTCGTGTTCAGAAGCCAGCAGGAGGCAAGGGTCGTTCCAGGTGGGCAGCCCACGGAATTCCTTCTGCTGGAGTTGAGTATCTCAGGTGCTGGGGACACAGCGTTCCCCTGTGAGGACACTCGCACCCGTGACATGAGTGACCCCTGAGGTTTAGTCCGGTCACCTGATCAAGTATCACCCTGGCTGGAGCCGAGAGCTCCTGACAGCCCCTCTCCAAGGGTCGCTACTGTGTGACTCAGGCCACCCCGCTGCTGGCCACCCCGTGGGTCCCCTAGGAGGTCGCCACTGTATATTTGGTGCGCATGTGGACCCGAGGGAAGTCCTACAGCCAGACCCGTGGAAGGCGGTTGCCCGGGTTGGCCTGTGCGCAGGGCGGTGGGGATATGACTCCGAGCGCCGCGGTCACTGGCTGTTTGTGGTTTGGAGCACAGTCACGCGTATGGCGTGTCTCCGGACTTGTCGGAGTGCACGTGTTCCCTGAGCCAGGCGTCTGCTTCTCAGATTTCTGCCTCTGTTGTTTTTCTGTTTAAGCGCTGTTAAGAATTTTTGTGCCCAATTTGTTGTCAGTGTGGCTGTGTGGAAACGTAAGCTAGAGACAGTAGTACCTGTGTTTATAACAGGGGACCTGAACCTGTGTCTGCACTGTGAGTGGAAGGGCAGGCAGCCCCAAAACAGGAGACTCGTGATGTGGGGGAGAGGCCAGGCGGGCTCGGGGGGCACAGCACGCCAGAGGCGTCCGCATCCGCGTCAGTGCAGCCCGGTGGGGAGGCCTGGCCTTCTTGCGCATTGCACCCGGCACCCCCGCAGTCACCCGCCCTCACGCGGAGCAGCAGACGGTGGGCTTTAGAGCCTGTTGCGTTCCCTGTCCCCGCTGCGGTACAGTCTGGCCGCCTCAGAGCCGCGACCGGAGGCCGTCAGACCAGGCTCGGGCTCCAGGCACTGCCGTCTCGTTTCAGGAGCAGCTGCAGAAGCTGGAGGTGGAGCTGCGCGAGGTCACGAAGAACAAGGAGAAGCTGAGGAAGAACTTGCTGGAGCTGATCGAGTACACCCACATGCTGAGGGTGACCAGGACCTTCGTGAGACGGAACGTGGAGGTACGGGCGGCCCGGCCCGCCCTCTGCCTCGGGAGTCCCCTCCCATCGGGCCCGGGTTTGCTCTCAGGTCCTGGCGATGTGCTGCGGGTGCCCCGAGGGGCTTGGTCGTGGCCGGGTTTTCAGCCGGAGGGCCAGACAGGCGCAGGGCTCCATCTTTCCCTGCGTCGGCTGTTTTTAGCCGTGACAGCGCATCCTCTTGGTGAAATGCTGTAGTTTGCAATTGAAGAAAATCTTTTTATGATCATGAGAAAAAAATTGAACAGAAGAAGTTCAATTCTAAAATTGCTCTTATTTCCAAATTGCTAAGAGTAAAGGAGGTAGAAAAGAATCTAGTTTATGAGAACAGAGAACAGCCTGCGTGGTGTCTCTGCATTCACCGGAGCATCAAGGGGACGTCTCTTCCAAACTTAGTTTCGTGTCCAAAAATTACCTTGGATTAATGGGACGACAGAGATTGTAACTCTACTTTAAGAAATTTATTTATTTATTTATTTATTTTTAGGCAGGGAGAAAGAGAGGGAGAGAAACGTCAGCGTGTGGTTGCCTCTCACCCGTCCCCTCCTGGGGACCTGGCCCACAACCCAGGCGTGTGCCTTGACTGGGAATCGAACCGGTGACCCTTTGGTTCTCGGGCCAGCTCTCAATCCACTGAGCCACACCAGCCAGGGCTATGACTCTGCTTTTATGTAAACTTCTGCCAGTAGCTCACAGATTCAGAAGTAACCGTCCTCCTCCTTGATCAGTGCTGAGTGTCGCGTCTGGGTCGCCCAGGGGCCTGAGCACCCAGGCCTGAGTAGGTGGTGACGGCCCCACACACTTGTTGGGAAATGTGACGCGCACACTCATATCTCCCGGGACACACGTGGTTTCCTCTCTTGTTGCAGTTTGAACCCACTTACGAGGAATTCCCCACCTTGGACAGTGACTCCTTGTTGGACTACAGCTCCATGCAGAGGCTGGGAGCGAAGCTGGGGTAGGTGACGCCTGGGCGTTGGGGGCAGGCACGCTCTGCAGGGTGGGTGCGGGGGCACCTTCGGAAGCCTGGGCTCGAATGGGAGAAGGTGGCGCTTGTTGAAGAAAACACGTATGTCTGGACCTGCCGCGGCGAAGGCCCTGCCTGGAGAAGGGCCCGCTGCGGTGAACTTCCAGCCGCCAGTGAGTGTGACGGGTGCTGCTTCTCCGGGCACAGTGAGCTGGGGAGAAGGACGCCTGTGCTGGTGTGACTCCAGGGACCCTGGGCCACCTGCTCCCTGCAGCGGCAGGGCCTGCTCTGCATGGTGGGGATGCGGGCTGAACTGAGTCGGTTCATTCGTGAACCAGATTCGAAGGGTCTCTTATTCCTCCAGAGAGAGGACTTCTATTTTGTTAGGTGTCTGAGAGCCCACTACCAGCCTGGAGTCATTTTACATTCCTTCCTCTGAGAGGCTTGTTTTTATTTGTTTTTATACTGTGCATTTAATGAGAATTTGAGCCCCAAGCCTGAGTAAATTCTAACCCGTGGTTGTAAGTTCTCCACAAAGACTTCTCCCCGTCCAGAGTGGAAGGTGTCCTTGTAGGCCCCTTTGCGAGGTGGAATTTCTTCTCATCCCTCCGTGCACTGAAGGTGTAGCCCCTGGGGGGTCCCAGCCCCCGAGGGGAGAGTGTGAGGGGTCAGTGTCTTCTCCCTGGGCAGACCCATCTCCCACGCTGGCTGGAAGCTCCAGGCCAGTGTGAGGCTTCGGGGCGGCCACGAGGTGCCATCGCTTTGATTGCTAAGAATTTCTCTAATCCGAGGCTCAGCTCAACATTGGAAAGGATGTTTCAAAAGCTCTTGGTCCAGCATTTCAGACACTTGGCGATTGGAGGGCCTTCCGCACCGCGTTGTCCAAAATGAGTCTTCATTGCGTCCCGAATGGGTTTGATAGGACCCGCTGCTCTCCGCTGACCACCGCCTGCCGGTCTGTGTTGTCTCACAGCTTTGTGTCCGGCCTGATCAACCAAGGCAAAGTGGAAGCGTTTGAGAGGATGCTGTGGAGGGCCTGCAAAGGGTACACCATCGTGACCTGCGCGGAGCTGGACGAGCCCCTCGAGGACCCCGAGACGGTGAGTGTCGCGGCCCCACGCACAGCGCAGGCCCAGCACGGAGGGCGAGCGCTGGCCTGGCGCCCGGTCCTTGGGTCCCGGGTGTGGTCCCGATCGGGACTCCCCCTCCCCGGGCTGCCACAGCCCGGCGCGAGGCCGCCGTGGATATGTTGCCGCCTGCCGGCTGCTGCCCAGCGTCCACTGGCTGTCCCGGCCCCGTCTTCCATGGCAGAGGAGTCAGGGATCTAGGGTGGACCCGCCCTGTGGGCTCCCTGGCCCCAGCTCCTGGCGCCCCTTCTTTCTGGGGTATTTCTTAACTTCTCCTTAACTTTTATGACCTTGACATTTCAAACTAGTCCGGGCCCGTTGTTTCGGAAGCTTTCCCGTCGCTCAGTTTGGGTTTGTCCTGCCTGTTCTCATGATGGGGTTCAGGTCAGTGTCTTTGGCAGGCAGGACGCAGAGATGACACACCCCATCGTTCGGTCCTGAGTTTTCCACGTTCCTCTGACCACTCAGCCTGGCTCCAGGGCCCTCGGTCGGCCTCAGGGACGGCTCCATCAGTGATGTGCTTGGTGTCACCTGTCGTGTGACCGCGTCAGTCATATCCTCCTCGGGCCCTGGCAGCGTCCTCTCTGCCCCCCCCACCTCTGTCCTTGCCTTCGGGACCCCACGGCCCTGCTTTGCTGAGGCTCCCCAGCCTGCTCCCGGCCCCCGGGCCCTAGGGCTCCGGTCTCGGACTGCCCCCTCCTCTCTCTGCCCACAGGGTCCCCTGTCGTTCCATGGCTCTAAATGCCATCCCCCGGGTCTAGCTGGGGCCTCTCCCCCAAGCACCACACTGGTGTTTATATCTTCTGATTTTCTACCTCATGCCTCGAACTGACCTTTCCCGGTCTCTGCCCCCAGCCCGCCCTTCCAGGCCTGCCCAGCCCACTGGGTGGCAGCTCTGTCCGCGGACCCCTCAGGGCCAAAGCCGGGGGGTCACTCTGGGCCCTCGTCTTCCTCTTCTCCTTCCCCTGTGCCTAGTCCACGATGGCCTGTCCCTTAAACAGTAGGAGACTCTGGCCCCCGTCACCTCCACCTGCCCCAGGACCTGAGCCCGTGGACCTGACACGCTTCCATTTTGCAGGAGCCTCCGTCCGCCCACTGAGATCCCCCGCTCCCGGCCCCCGGGGTGTCCTGGGCAGCTGTAGTCCGGTCACTGCTGTCCCCCAGGTGCCGCCTCCCTCCCAGCGGGAGACTCAAAGCCTGGGTCCCGCCTTCCCACTCTGTCCCAACCCTGCCCTGCCCTGTCATTTCCTCGATTGTGTCCCCCTTTACTCCCCCTTTGCTCCAGGGGTCTTGTCCCTCTGCCCTGTGGGTGCCCCTCCCACTGCTGTCCTCCGGTCACATGTCCCTTCCCGGGGAGGCGTCCCTGCTCACCCCGTTGGAGTCCCAGCCTCCCTCCCGCCGCTCTCTCTCCTTTGTCGCACTCTCCTGCACTGGACACGGATGTATCCTCTGCGTCTCTTCCCTCCGGCTGGAATGCGGGCCCCTCCCCCACCCAGTCAGGGAGCTCGGTCCGTTCAGTTCCTGGCCCCGGAGCAGCGCCTGGCAGACAGAGCCCTGTTCCGGCCTCGTCGTGGGGCGTCTGTCAGTACCGTCCGACCTTGTCGTTCGTGGTCGTTGTGCTCCGTGAATTCTCTGCAATCGCCGAGCCGCCGCTCCCGGGGGCAGCGGCGAGGTGCCCGCCAGCCTCTGGTCCCAGCGTTTCGTCCAGCAGGCAACACGGACTTTGTTTCTGTGTTTCTTTGTGAAGGCGCCTTAGTGAGTAGCTGCTGTTGGTTCATTAACCTGGGTCTCGGCCAACAGCACCGTCACTCACGCACAGAGGAAGCTTATCTGCCCTCCCTGCACTCAGGGACGCGGCCAGTGCTTGATTACTGCGCTGGGGGCCGATTCAGCAGCCCCGTCGCCAAGTAAAAGCACAAGTGTGTGCAAACCTTGCACCAGATGCATCTTGATAAGGACATTTTTTTACAGTTTGAGTTGAGAAAGAAAGTCACCTTGTCCACTCGAGTGGTGGGTGACTCACGAGTTTTGTCGCTCTGCACGTCTGCCAGTGACCAAAAACCCCACATTATGAGTGTCAGTTTGGTTCGGTTTACTAGGAGCGGTGGTGGCCGTGACCTTGCTGTCGTGGGACCCACGGTGCCGAGGGCTGGCGGTGTTGGCTGGCAGACAAACCGAAGCGGTGACCGAGTTTGCACTACCAGCAGAGCCCTGATGGCCGTGGCCACGGAAGTGACTGTTGTCCTGCTCACTCCACAGGGAGAAGTCATGAAATGGCATGTGTTCCTAATATCCTTCTGGGGAGAGCAGATTGGCCACAAGGTGAAGAAGATATGTGATTGGTAAGAAGCAGCGGCGCTCGCTTCCTGTTTTTCTGTGTCCTGGAGGCTCTGGTTCTCCCGGTGTGTGCCTCTGTCGGGCGGGGGGTGGGCAACGCGGGGGCTTGGGTCTGCCGGGTTTCCTCCAGAGACCTCTTCGCCGTCACCCCGTGTTTTTAAGAGTTTCATTCTCTCTCTTGCCAGGACAGCACTTAAAATAACTTAAAAGTAGAGATCATGTTAATAACATTCTCAGATTTGGGGTTTTGTTGTTTTATGTTTTTTTGGAATCAAGACTTAAGATGCATTGGAAAAAGAATCAAATTATAGTATCTTGTGCCTTCCTGTTGCTCTTAGCTGCATGGAGACTTAGTGGGGTCGTGGTTTCTCTCCAACCCCGGGCGACTTTCTCCCGTGTATCAGGGGGAGGGCGTGATGGGGGATGGCATGAGGGCACCGGGTCTCGGTGTCCTCAGTGGTGAAAATGGAGGGGGCGCAGCTCACAGGGTGGGGACACTGGTGAAGGGCTGGGGCAGGTGGGGAGGATGTCAGAGCAGGGACCTGCCCGTGACTTACTCTTGTCAACAACCGCAAAGCCAAACAAACATGCACAAGAAGGCGCTTCGCTTTCTCATCTGCGGGGACACCGTAGGTGGCTGCCTCGTTTCGTGGGGGTGAGGATGGGGCTCGGCTTTGTTTTTGATCCCGTGTCCTGGAGTTTGATGCCCAGTTGCCGGGCTGGGGAAGGCATTCAGGTGTCGCGTGGGCCAAATGGTGGTGGTTTTACAGTCAGCCACTTGCTGATCACGTGTCAGAAAAACTGCCCGGGGCGTCAGGGCTGGGGGTCGGGGCTAATTTTAAGAGTCAGAACTTAAAGGGAAGCATTAAGTGGGGTGGCTGCGGTGTGGGTGGTGGGCTCTGCCCCGCAGGCCCCAGGGTGTCCTGTTGTCACGTGGCCCCCGAGACGCACGGCGCTGTAAGGTGGGTGGGGGAGAGGCTCACGGCAGCACTCGGCCCGGGCGGTGCTGGCGAACCAGAGCTTCCGTCTCCCTTTTACTTCTCTTTTTAAAAGGCAACTGCTGTCTTGCATTATCTTTGTGTTTCTGTCTCAAACCTCTTTAAAGATTCCCACCCCGGGGAGGGTGGTGCGTGTCTGGAGGTTGGAACTGGGTGAGTTTCGGGAGTCGTCCCAGTTCAGATCCAGGAGAGTTTTGCTGCCCCTGCCGCCATCGGGAGAGGTGTGTGGGGCGGGCGCCGCGGGGCCGTGTTCCGCTGGACGTGCACCGCCTCAATTCTGTCTTGCAGCTACCACTGCCACGTGTACCCGTACCCGAGCACGGCCGCGGAGCGCCAGGAGATCCAGGAGGGGCTGAACACCCGCATCCAGGACCTCTACACCGTGAGTGGGCCACCACCCAGCCAGGGCCGTCACGTGTGCGCCCACCCGCTTCCTGCTTTCCCGTGGCGTGTTTTGGCGGTGACCTATGAGGCGTTTCAGGGAGATTGGAAGGTCGCTTACCTGCCTCCTCTTCGTGGCAGCTCCATTCTAGCAGCCTGTTCTACACCCAGAGAGCGACAGACTTTGCAGTGAAAGCTCCCCTCTGTGGTGATGGAGTGTGACTCGCCGTCGGACAGACGAGCCCGTTTCAAGTGTGGCTCTTGTCTCCCGTGTCTGCTTATGGCGGAGGGGCTCTCGGTGGGAGAAGCCGACTGTGACCTGTTTAGGCCCGAGGGGAGGGACGCTCGGCAGCACAGGACGGGAGATGGTGGCTCACGGGTTGGCGTGAAGCCGGGCCGAGGTGGGCGATGGGCGAGGACCCCGGGGATCTGCGCCCGGCCAGGCTGTGCTGCTGCAGCCACCGCCACCAGGCCCTCTGGCCTCTCCTGTGGCCCTGGGGTCGTGTCCTGGAGAGCCAGCTCCAGGAGAAAATTGGCTCAGCTGTGCCCAGGTTTTCCTCCTGCCCCCGGGTGGTGCTGGGTCCGGGGGCACGGGGTCGGGGGAGAGGCAGGAACTGCCCCCGTGGCTGTGTCCAGGGCCGGCAGGTGCCGGGCAGACACTGCAGGTCGCCCGCCCCGCTGAGCGGGCCCCCGTCCTCCCCAGGTGCTCCACAAGACCGAGGACTACTTGCGGCAGGTGCTGTGTAAGGCCGCCGAGTCGGTCTGCGCCCGCGTCGTGCAGGTGAAGAAAATGAAAGCCGTCTACCACACGCTGAACATGTGCAGCTTCGACGTGACGAGCAAGTGCCTGGTCGCCGAGGTCTGGTGCCCCGAGGCCGACCTGCAGGGCCTGCGCCGCGCGCTCGAGGACGGGTCGGTAAGGCCGTCCCGCCAGCCCCGCCGTGCTCGCCCACTGTCTGGGGCGGTCGGCCCGTGAATGTGGACACATAAGGAGACCGCGTTTCACGGAGCCTCCTCCTGGGGCCGGACTCCGGAGCGCCAGCCGCCCGAGGCGTGTGCGCGAGGTGTTCTCACCTTGCTCTTCTGAGTGAGGGACGCAGCCCGGGCCCCTGCTCAGAGACGGCCCGTGTTTCGGTCCCCATGCGTCTGTGCGGTTCTCATCCCAGATAAGCAGACGTGAATGGGTATTTTTCTTTCCTTTTTTCAGAAAACATTGCATGCTGTTGAGACTGTTCTCTTCACCTAATAAAACTTTTTTTAGAAAGATTTTATCTACTTAATTTTAGAGAGAGGGGAAGGGAGGAAGAGAGGGAGAGAAACATCCATGCGAGAGAGAAACACTGATTGGTTGCCTCTCGTATGCGCCCCCTGCAGGAACTGAACCCGCAACCCAGGCCCCTGGGAATCGAACTAGCGACCTTTCGCTTTGCAGGACATTGCCCAGCCAACTGCGCCACCCCGTTCAGGGCAAACTTTTCTGGTTTTGAAAATAACTGTTTAGTATCCCGCTGTGTGGGTCTGTCCCCACGGGCCCGCCACGCCGTGGCAGGCGTCAGTGTTGAAAGGGCCCCTGGGTGGTGATTTTTTTCTCCTGTTTCTCTTTTCTGTGTGGAAGAGAGAGAGCGGTGCCGCAATCCCCTCGTTCATGAACACCATCCCGACGAAGGAGACGCCCCCCACGCTGATCCGCACCAACAAATTCACCGAGGGCTTCCAGAACATCGTGGATGCCTACGGAGTGGGCAGCTACCGGGAGGTGAACCCAGGTTGGGCGCCCGAATGCGCGGCTCTGAGAGCGGGGGGCCGCCATTCGGCGGGCAGGCCGGCGGCCCCCGTCGCGTTGTGTCGTGTGGTGCGCGGCGCCGGCCTGGGCCCGCCGGGTCGCTGTGGGGTGCTGCATGTGAGGCTGGGTGGGCGGGGGGCGGCTCTGCCTCGGCCACGGGTCAGCCGTCCTTGCTTCCCCCACAGCTCTCTTCAACATCATCACCTTCCCCTTCCTCTTCGCCGTGATGTTCGGAGACCTCGGACACGGCTTCGTCATGTTCCTGTTCGCCCTCCTGCTGGTGCTGAATGAGGACCACCCGAGGCTGACTCAGTCCCAGGAGGTAAGGGCGCCAGCGCGGCTGCTCCTCCTGTCCGCCTGGGTGGTGGTGCTCTTCCGTTGGACCACAGGAGGGCCATCTCCTAGATGCTCCAGGTGTGGCCATGGCCATGACCCACCTGCCTGAGACGGCAGAGGTGCGGGCGGGTCCTCTCGGTGTGACCGGGACGTATGTGACGTGGCCTTGTGTTTGAGAGCCCCGAGGGGAGTGGTGGAGAATGAGCCAGCCGAGGTCACTCAGCCCCCGCTGCATTCCACAGATCACACGCATGTTTTTCAATGGCCGCTACATCCTCCTGCTGATGGGGCTGTTCTCCGTGTACACGGGCCTCATCTACAATGACTGCTTCTCCAAGTCTGTCAACATCTTCGGCTCCGGCTGGAACGTGTCTGCCATGTACAGTGCCAGCCACACGGCTGCTGAGCGCAGCAGGATGTCGCTTTGGAAGTACGTGTCCCCTAGCCACACGGGGGTCCCGTAGCCACACAGGGGTTGGGGAGGAGAAGCGTTGGTCCGGACTCCGCCCTCCTCCTCACTCGCCTTCTGTTCCAGTGAGAGCGTGGTCAAGCACAACAGGGTCTTGCAGTTGGATCCGAGTGTCCCCGGCGTGTTCCAAGGCCCTTACCCCCTCGGCATCGACCCCGTGAGTGCACGCTTCCCTGCCGTCACCTGGGCGTGCGGGGGCGCGGCCCAGTGCTGGCTGTCAGGGTGGTTTCTCACCGTCCGGCAAGGGTCAGAGGCTCTGTCTCTGTAATTCTCTTTTCCAACTGCGGTTTGCACGCAGTATCATGTGTGCTGGTTTCCAGGGTGCAGCATGGCGGTGGGATAGTTGTGTGCTTTGCACAAGGGTCCCCCGACATCTCTGGTGCCCACCCGGCACTGCACCAGCTTCAGTTTAACTGTAAAATGGGCGCAGCGCCTGTGCCCTCCAGGGGCGGAGCCGCGTGGGCACTTCCTGCCGGGAAGAGGTCTGGTGATGAACCTCACGCTTGCAGGCGGTCCCATGCTGCACGTTGGGGTCAGCCATGCGGGCCGGCCTCGCTCTCGCCCGTCCGCAGCCCCGAGCCCCGCCCTCTGAGACCCTGGTCCTGCTTCAGAACAGTGAGCTCATCCGTCCTTTTTTTACGCTGTTAAACTGTATATTGTAAAATATACTTGCAAGACCGTGTGTTGGATGTGTCCGTGAGGCGGTGACATGCTTGATGTCCCGCCGAGGGTCGGAGACCCCAGGACTGCTCGCCCCACGCCTCGCTGCCCTCAGAGGGACCACTCAGTCCCCTGAGCTCCGGGTGCGCGTCCTCTCGCTCTCCTCCTCCGTGTCCCTCCTAGGCGTGTTCCCTAAACTCGGCCCTGCTTCCTTGGCATCCTTGGAGCTTGCGTTGAAGGTGCAGTTGCTTTGCGGCAGCCTGTGGCCCTGGGCTGGGAGGCAGCGGCTCTCAGGGTGACGGCGTGGAGAGCAGTGGCCGAGCGGCGCTGCCCGGCTGAGCAGCGGGTGCCTCCCACCTCAGCCCCAGCGCCGCGCGGCCCCGGGCACCTGGAGGGCGTTCGTTACAGCTCGCTTTGTCTGTTTTGTCTTCAGATTTGGAACTTGGCCACGAATCGCCTCACTTTCCTGAACTCGTTCAAAATGAAAATGTCTGTGATTTTGGGAATTATCCACATGACTTTCGGAGTCGTTCTGGGAATATTTAACCACCTGTAAGTACAGCCTGTGTAAAAGCAGGGTTTCTGCGGCCAGTCTGGCCTTCGTTGTTTTGCCCCTGGATGGCGGGCCGCCGGTGGTGGCGGGTGTCGCGCTGCACGATTCTGTTTGGCGGCACGGCTTTTTGGCTCTTTCGTCGGCTCCTTCACGTGGTGGATGTTGACTGAGCACAGAGTGTGTGCCCGCTGGGGGTCGGGCAGTGAGGGCAGGAGACCAGGCACTTGTGTGTTCAAGTGACGGGGATGCAGGCGGTGTGTGTTCCCGTTCATTCAGAGACTTGACTTTTCTCGTTTTATTATTATTTATTATAAATTAGCAAACCCTCTGTCTGTCTGTGAGAGCTAGAGTAGCGAGAGAAAGGGGTCGTGCCGTTTCTCTCTGACTACACCTGCTGGTGTCCTCACACTGCTCTCCGTGATGCCGGAGTCACCGGTGTGAGTCTGGAGGCCGACGTCGGGGGGGCTGCGGTGGGCTTCCACGCGAGAAACTGGCTGCGTGTCTCAGTCCGGTCTCTCTGGTGGGCTGACGGGTTACTCTTTTCCCAGGCACTTCAGGAAGAAGTTCAACATCTACTTGGTGTCCGTCCCGGAACTGCTCTTCCTGCTCTGCATCTTCGGGTACCTCATCTTCATGATCTTCCACAAGTGGCTGGTGTACTCCGCCGAGACCTCCAGGGCCGCCCCCAGCATCCTGATCGAGTTCATCAACATGTTTCTGTTCCCGGGGAGCAAGACGAGCGGCCTGTACTCGGGCCAGGTGAGGAGGGTCTTTCCCGCCCCCCGAGCTGACGGGCAGCCCTCCCGCAGCCTTTGCTGGGGTCTGCTGGCCGGTGCCCTCTCCAGGCCTGCCCAGCGCACGGGGCTCTGCCCCTTCCTGTGGCGTCCCAGACGGACGCCGGCCTGCTCCGGACGCCGTGCTGGGGGTGCTGGGCAGGCAGTGAAACCCAGACCCGCTGCCACGCAGGAGCCGTCCAGACGTGTCACTGGTGGGTTCCCCAGGGCGGCCCAGTGCCCCGTTTGTCCAGTGTCCCTGAGTCAGTCTCTGCCTGAGGCCGGTCGTCAGGGTGTCGGCACCTGGACCACAGCATGGCAGTCGTCTCTGGAACTGGCTTCTCTGTCGCCGTGCGTTCGCGTGGTGCCGCCGTGTGCAGTGGGGCACGCGGCTGAGAGTGTGGGCTCCGAGGGCTGCCCGCCCCAGCCCTGCCGCTCCCTCCAGGAGGGACTCCGACCACAGTACTTGCCTGCTGTGGCCTGGTCCCTCGTCGGTACAGTGGCCGTGACAACGGGACCCCCTCGTTCAGAGCACGGAGTTAGTGCGTGGAAGCCCTTAGCGGAGTGCGGCCCCTCCCACGGGCTCGGGGACGGGAGCCCGTGCTGTCCCAGGGCCCCAGTGCCCTGCCCTCAGGACGGTGCGGAGGATGTCATGGGCCTCGTGGTACAGCGTCCAAGGGACACAGGAGTCCTCTCCGCCATCACCGTCACACCCCCGGTGCTCCCGAGCTGGGTGGCGCCCGCCTGTTTTTTAAGTCTTGTGGACCCCGCCCATTGGGCCTGCTGACCGCTCGCAGCCCAGAGTCCGATCGGAAGCTCCGGTAGCTGACTGTGGGCTTCTCGGGGCGCGGCAGACAGGCGTCCTTTGTGAACGGTTTGCATTTCTTCCTCCTATTTGTACTTCTTCTGTTGGCGATTCTAGAATCGCATCCTGTCATTGTTTTCGGGGCCTTTGCAGAGCAACACAGGCAGACTCAGCGGAGCCCAGTGGGTCCCGGGTGCTGGGGGCAGAGAGGTCAGGGAGGGACCGCCTCTCTCTGGCCCCCACTGCACTCTGGAGGTCTGCCTTCCTCCCCTGCCCTTTCCTGACTCTCGCCTCGGCCTCCCGGGGTGGGTGGTGGCTTTCGGGTGGCTCAGGCCCCCGGATGGACACCTGGTCTGCCTGACCGTGCAGCTCACGACCCGGACGTGGTTCTGCCCACGGCCCCCACTCCCGTCGGCATTTCAGGGCAAGGATGCTGGTTGTCTGAGACAAGAGCTCACACACGGATCCTGCCACCTGTGGCCGAGTGGAGGGCACGGCTCTGAGAACCCATGTTTATCGGGGAGGGTCCCAGACAGGGCTGAGCAGGAGACAGCGCCCCGTCTGGTCCTATGTTTAGCACCTGCCTCCCGACCCTCTAACCCACCCCCACGGCAGTGGCTGTGCCAGCAGGCGCCTGCTCCGCTCCTGAGTGGTCTTTGAATAACTGTAAGACCGCTTCCATTTTAAGGAAAGGTTTTTAGTTTTCTGAATGCTGTTTGCATATTTTTCAGCTGTACAAGTTCACATTCCTGAAGTAGTCATTATAGTTAAAAAAAGTAGAGCCATGGATATAGAAAAACATACAGTTTCTGTTTGTATTTTCCCATTGACAGTGTATTCAGAAATAGTAGCTGGAGGTAACAGCTAGAGTTTGCCTTTTTGGAATTTTCCTACCAATTCCTTCCTGGTCCCAACGAAAGCCTCTTCTGCCTGCCATTCTCGGCAGCATCAGAACTATGCTGGGGGTGGAGGACGTGGCCCACTGGCCAGGCGGTTTGGCTTCCGCTGCGTATGTTCCTTGTTAATAAACAGAGGGGCATTCGGTTTGTTTGCTGCTGCCGTGGTCCAGTGCGCGTGGACACCGCTTGTGTGTGCACCACCGTTGACCCTCCTCCTTCTGTACCCCCAGGAGCACGTCCAGAGGCTGCTGCTGGCCGTCACCGCGCTGTCCGTGCCCATCCTCTTCCTGGGGAAGCCCCTGTTCCTGCTCTGGCTGCACAACGGGCGCGGCTGCTTCGGGGTCAGCAGGGTGAGTGAGGGCATGGGCACGCATCTGGGGTGGGGCACGGGGTCCCTTTTGGCAACAGAAGGGTTGGTGCAGAAAACACCTTTCAGAGGTCCTCAGTCTCTTGTTCAAAAGCCAGAGCTTCCTGGATGTGGACCTTGGGGCTGCCTGTTCTGCAGGTGCCACATGCCCGGAGCCCGAGCCAGCCATGTCTGCACTCGGAGACAGGCCCTGCCCCCGGGGGGCGGGGCTGCTAGTGGTCTGAGCCCAGTCCTGCCGGTCAAAACGTTTTATTATTCTTGCCACTTGTTTTTTATCCTCAGAAGTATTTTTATTAATATAAAAATGTATAACAACTATAGAAATTGTGGGGAAACAGAAAATAATGCCTTTACGTTCTGCTATGAGCCATGTTAAGTTTCTTTCTAGATTCTTCTTGTGCGTCTAGTTTCTCATTTTATTTCTCTTTTTAAAAATGTCTTATTTATTTATTTTTAGAGAGAGGGGAAGGGAAGGAGAAAGAGTGGGAGAGAAACACCAATGTGTGCTTGCCTCTCATGTAACCTATTGGGGACCTGGCCTGCAACCCAGGCATGGTCCTGACTGGGAATCAAACCGAGATCCTTTGCTTCACAGGCCTGTGCTCAATCCACTGAGCTATACCAGCTATAAGAAATTTGGTATTTGTTATACCAAATAGTGGTAAAATAACACATAACACATTTTCCTTCTCACGTGTTCAAGCGCACAGTCAGTGGCGCGGGGCACACTCAGGTGGTGGCGCCACCACCCCCGCCAACTTCCATCTCCATGACAACCGTCTTCCCAAACAAAACTGTCCCCACGAAACACTCCCCCATACCCCCCTTCCCCTACTCCTGCCGCCCAGCTCTGTGCGTCTCCGAGTTGGACCGGTCTCAGCACCCGGCCTGTCCTCTGCGGCCGGCCTCTCTCCCCCGGCAGTGTCCTCCGGGTCCTTCCGAGCAGCAGCCTGTGCCACAGGCTCCTCCCCCTCCCGGGCTGACCATGTTCCCCTGGGCACTGACCACCCTCTGTTCATGGGTCCATGCGACAGTGGACACTTGGGTTTTGTGCACCTGTCGGCTGTTGTGACCAACACTGCTGTGAACGCGAGCGTGTAAGGGCATTTTCGGACATGGGAGCGCTGGGTTGGCGCTGGCTCCGGCGCCGGCTCCGTGCTCACTGTTTGTTTGCAGAGCCGCCCGGGGTCCCACGGCAGCAGCGCCCTCACCTGCACATGCTCTTCAAAAAAATTTTGTGTTTGCATTTTTTTCATCTTTTCTTCTTTGTGCTTTTGTTACGTAGTAGTTATCCTAATGGGTGTGAAGTGCTCACTTTCCTTTAAAGAATGTTTTACTTCTGAAGAGACTGAAGTCAGTAAGAGAAGCGAGGGGGCTCTAACTCGGGTTGGTCCTGACCATGGCTTCTGACAGCAGCGCTGACCGTGTCTGTGTTTGCTGGCAGAGCGGCTACACGCTGGTGCGGAAGGACAGCGAGGAGGAGGTGTCCCTGCTGGGGAGCCAGGACGTGGAGGAGGGGAGCAGCCGCATGGAGGACGGGTGCAGGGCCGTGACCGGCGAGGAGGTAATGCGTCCCGGGCCCACGGGGGGTGCAGAGCCACGGCGAGAGTCTTACAAACTGGAGCGAAGGCCTCAGGTGGTGTCTGCTGGTGGGGTGCGGGTGTGCCAGCCACTGTCGGGAAGGTGTCTCGGTCCCAGGAACCATGCAGGTGCTGTGCGGACCGTGACGGACTTTATTCCAGGGGAGTTTCCTCACGGGAGTCTGGGTTGGAGCAGACAGGTGACTGGGGGCTGGAAGTCCAGGATCAAGGCGTTGGCAGGGTCGGCTTCTCCTGAGGCCGTTGCCCTCAGCTTGCAGATGGCTGCCTTCCCCGTGCCCTCACACGGTCTTTCTCTGCGCACCTGTCCCTGGGACCTCTCCCTCTTCTCACGCGGCCCCCGGGCCTTTTGATGAGAGCCCAGGCCAGATGACCTCAGGTAACCCTCATTCGCTCCTTGAAAGCCCTGTTCTCCAAACACAGTCACATTCAGAGTGACTTTAAGTCACTCAGAGCACAGCTGTGGTCGGGGGTACAGGATTAGACGGCGAGGACGCGGTTCCCCCCAGAGAAGAGAGGCCCGGAGCTGGGCAGACAGGACCCAGCACTGCGCCGCTCCGCACCTCTGGAGTTTCTCAGAAATTCCTAGAACCAGATCTCTTGTCATCAGCGTTTTGTAATCGTCAGTGGTTTCGTGTTTCGTTTGGGACGATGGGTTAGTTCCGAGGACCATGACTGTGAGCATCCCCGGGCCCAGTGTCCTGAAGCCACTTCACGCTCGGGGCCCCGAGTCACTCCCCTCGGGGGACTTGCGGCCGGCTTGCTCGCCTCTGTGCCCCACCCACACGCACTTACTCTGTGGCCGGGACTGGCCGAGTTGTCTTTGAGGCTAGCTCAGGAATCTCGGGCCGCACGGCATCCCTGTTCTAGTCCAGCCCCTCTGAGTCCTCACGGGAAACGGGGGCCTGGGGCGGGAGGGCTGGCGAGCAGAACCCCCGTCTTGTGGTTCCCTGTCCCTCACACCCTAGCACCTTCTCAGCAGCATCCCAGACACAGGTTCTCATGTAGCGGTTCTGAGAGCGGGGCCGACTCGTAACCCATGGAAGCGTGTGTGTGGCACTCGGACTCTAACCGTGCCGCGCCCTCTCTCCCCCAGTTCAATTTTGGAGAAATCCTGATGACCCAGGTGATCCACTCCATCGAGTACTGCCTGGGCTGCATCTCCAACACCGCGTCCTACCTGAGGCTCTGGGCCCTCAGCCTGGCTCACGCACGTAAGTGTTGCCCGCAGCAGTGCGGCCGGCTCCCCGGACGGTTTAAATCTGCGAGGGAAGTCCGGCGCCGTCTTTCTGCGCCACGGTGCATCGTTGGGACTCAGCTACTGACCATGTGGAGCCCCGGGGTGGCCGTCGGCCTCAGGCTGCCGTGGAAACCCCAGGGCCAGGAGGGCCTGGGGAGGCTTGGGGGCTGTGGCACTGACCCTGTCGCTCTCTCTGCCATCACCACGATTGTTCTTGTTGTCACTGGCACTTTATTCAGTCCCGCCTTCCCGAGTAGGAGCGTGTGTTTCTCTCAAGTCCTAAAGCCACGCCGGCCAGTGGTTTTGATGGCAGGCAGTCCTCCCTATGCACAGTTCCGATGACACTTGGCCACATGACACGTGTGCCCCACGACGGCTTCACTGCCGGGTCACCGCACATACACACACATGTGCACTCCGTGGTCAGTGCCCAGCTGCTCGCTCCTGGCAGAGTCTGCCGGGGACGGGTCAGTCCGTCTGCCTGGGCCGCCTTCACGCGCAGACAGCAGAGCACGTGGTGGCCCGCCTGCCCATGCACCAGTGCTAGGCCCAGGCGACACTTTGCAGGATGGAGGACCCAGTGAGGGAGGTGGCAAGCAGAGGGCAAAGTACAGTTAGGGGTAGACAGTGGCGATTCCTCCGTGGTCTGAATGGGCCTGGGGACATTGGCCCAGCCCCCATTCAGGGACCAACAGCAGCCCAAGGACCCAGGGCAGCCTGTCCGCCTGTCCAGAGGAAGGAGGGGTGTGCTTGTGACGAAGAAGATGCAAATGTCCCGGAAGACATGATGCTCGGGAACTCGGGAGGCCTTGGGGACGTGGGAGCCAATCCAGACTCAGAGCCACGCGGGACGACTGGCTGAGTGTCGGCAGAGACACCTGTGCCGTGTTGGGGCCCAGCTCGCCCCAGTTCCGGGAGAAGGCACAGTGTTCAGACCACCACCCTGGATGCTTTTTTTTCTCTCTTTACTAAAAAAAAAAGGCAATTTAATACTCAATGTTTCCTATATTTTAAAAGTAGATTTACTATTTTTCATTTCTTTACATATTTACAAACCAACAATAAAGTGTGTTTAATGATTTGACAAAAATCCTCCAAGGCACGAGGACAAGGCGGTTTTACTATTGATCACTAAGCCTGCTTTGGGCGCCCCCGCTGCTGGGCGGAGCCTGCCCGTGCTGGTGAGAACTCGGTGATAGGGTTTAAATTTATTCTTGTCACACTGATGTTTTTATTAGCACAGCCAGAAGTTTGGGATTTCGTGGCTGGAAGGGATCTGGTCTGTCACCTTTATTTTGTAGAGGAGGACACTGAAGGCCGGTGAGGGTGGGCGCTGTCGCAGGGACACCCAGCCGGTCACTTGTGCCACGGCCAGGACCAGGGATGCCCAGCTTCCTCCCTCTCGGCCCAGAGCTGCGTTGGGACAGAGCTCAAGAGCTTCACCGGGAGGCTGGCCTGCAGTGTCCCTGGCCTGTCTGTCCCCTTCTGTGTTCGAGACGGTTCACACGAGCAGCGGGTGACACCTGTATGTGGTAGAGGCGGGCGCGTCAGTTCCCCAGTAGCAGCTGGGACTGGCCGGAGGAAACCCAGTCCGGCCAGCTGACCGAGTGCCGCACTGAGCAGGCGCGGGGGCTGACTGCACGACGCTTCCTCCGCAGAGCTGTCCGACGTCCTGTGGGCCATGCTGATGCGCGTGGGCCTCCGGGTGGACACCACCTACGGGGTCCTGCTGCTGCTCCCCGTCATCGCGCTCTTCGCTGTCCTGACCATCTTCATCCTTCTGATCATGGAAGGGCTGTCTGCGTTCCTTCACGCCATACGCCTTCACTGGTGAGCGGGACATGGGGCGTGGGAACTATTATTTAAAGCCCCCCAGCTCCTGCCCCCCAATACATGAATATAAAACCCACACAGACTTCTGTGCTTGATTTAGGTTAATTCTTCCTAACGTTGGGATCGGTATTCGGATCCCCTGACTTATCGTTGGGTTTTGTTTCTGAACTATTTACCACCGGCAAGTACAGGTTTGCACTTGCCAAATAATGAATTATGAGTAGTCGTATTTTCAGTTCACTTTGGGCCTGACAGATTGCTTTATCTTGTAAAAGACTTCATACGTATTTCTTAGTGTTTTACAGTGTGTGTTGGATTACTTGTCCGCGTATCCAGTAACCAAGGCAGGGGCGGCGGATGGTGGTGCCGGGTGTGGGGGGGGTGGCATGTCAGCGTTTCTGTCACACACCGAGGACGCCGACACGGGGTGGGTGTGTGCGTGGGTTCCATCTGAGTGCAAATAGTTTCTGCCAAGGGCATGTGTGGGACGAAGCAGTTTCAGCGCAGGTACTTTTTTTTTTTAACTCGATAAAAGTTGTTTTAGGAAATTTGTTTGCGACGTTTCTTTAACGCATGGAATTTTTTTTCTTCTAGGGTAGAATTTCAGAACAAATTCTACGTTGGTGCAGGCACCAAATTTGTTCCTTTCTCGTTCAGACGCCTTTCGTGGAAGTTCAGTGACGAGGTGGCATGATTGCGTCGCTGCGTCCGGCCAGCTCACAGAGTGACAGAGAATTATCATGTTGTAGAGATTCGCTTATGTCAGATTTACGATAGGGAAAATTCTGTCCTCATTGATTGCCTTATGATAGAGCCAAATAATTCTGTAAGATATACCTCTTCCTCATGTTAAATATTTTGTACAGTTTATCAATTTTAGATATATAAATTTATTTCGGTTTTTATGATGAGCAAATGTAAGTTAATGCCAAAAGTTAACGTTCAAGTCATTTTTTTAAATGCAGGCTTGGGGGAGAGAAGTCCATGCCGAATGGCTAATTGAACATGGTCTTAGGTACTTAACTCCTTTTCACCTTATTAAAAAAAGAAAAAAAAACCAGAGTTATTCTGTCACCTGAAGTGAGATGATATTTTCCAACAGCTGAAGTTAAGTATAGTTTTTTAAAAACATTAATGACGGATAATCAAGACACATTATTCTGCTTGACTAAAAAGTATGTGAACATTTTTTACTGTAGGCTGCCTAGAATTACGAGTAGGAGATGGTTTCTACGATTTTGTCTTGTTTTATAATTGGGGAAGTGGGATAATCGGACCTACAACAAGGGTTATCCTGCTTGTATGTATTTTTAAAGACCTCTCACCCTGTTATCCCTCCGTAAAACCAGTGACGATGATTGTGTGTTTGGAAGAAACTGCACACGGAGCCTTACAGCGCAGGGGGCGCCTGGCGGAGGCGCAGCACGGTGGGGGCTGGAACGTGTGTGGGCCGGCTTGGCTGGTGGGACTGGACCCGAAGGGGTTCATATTGAGGGCAGGAAAGGTGAAAAGCAGTCAGCCGTGTATTTTTATACCAAAATACAAGTTAAGGTATTTCTGCCGTGAAGAGGTTGAAGCCTGCCCTGAACACAGTGCGTTGATAATTGTTTGACTCTCAGACTAAGTCTAAATAAAGGTCTGATGAAGGCATGTAGAGTGAATGGAAACTTTAAACTAATTGTTCAACTAAACTTTAAAACTGATTGTTAGCCATTAATTTAGAGTCTTTAAGTTCACCAGCTCCCTTGACATTTGGTTTTACATGGATGTCAGTCCTGTTGAATGTTCCGATCTGTCTTCTTGTAAATTATGCTGATTTTTTATATTTTATTGTACCTGATTTTAGAGAATTATTTTCACAAAGAAATTTGCAGTGTTTCCACGGTCTCACCTTTTCCGTGAGATGCAAAGGCTCGTTTGCCGCCACCCGCCGTCACCCCGGCTGGTAGAAGACCGTGGAATGTTCTTCACAAGCTAAAGTGATGCTGATGCTAAATTCAGGCCTCTCTCTGGGTGATTTCAAGGCCTGTTTGCTGAGAGGCATGACCCGAACATCATGACATTAAACTTTTAAAAATGTAGGAAAGATCCTACGCTGCTCCTCCATGAAATGTTACCCAAAGTCATCTGAGATTACCGGGTCTCATCCTTGATATTAAAATAGCAAACATAAAAGGGTCCCGATGAAACTCTGGAAAGTGATTCTGCTCTCAAAGTTCCCCCAGAAAGTTGGACAGTTTTGGGAGTGAGTATGAAATCTAAATAATGCCGTCCAGGCTCAAACTTGTCCCTCACGAGTGGTCATTTTTTGATTACTTTACTCCAAGGGTCTGTTGTAATAAAACAGGGGCGGTTTCACCCAGGAAAGTCAGGATTTCCGGGCACCACTAACCAACAAGGACACACAAGATGTGCGGCACCTGCTGGGGCGCGTCGGGGCCCCACCGCGAACAGTCTTGGGGACCCCTCTTAAATTCTAATGAACACCTCTTCCCAGGGGATGGAACAGAGAGTGGAGGGTCATTTGTTCCACTGAAACTGTAGGATGTAATTACAGTAAGCATTAATAGTCCTAACAGAACTCTCTAGCAATATGGTTTAATGGTGTCTTTTAGGCACCAGGGGAAATTTCACTTCTTGCCACGGCTCTTGGTTCCGGGGGCCGTCTGCACAGCAGTCCCTCTGTTCTGCCCGTAAGCCTTCGGTAGGACTGTCGTGGCACAGTTCTCAGTGCAGACTTGATTCTCTCTACCCAGCTCTCCAGAGGAACAGACATTGTCTAGACGGTGCCAAATATGTTTACTTTCCTAAAGAGAAGTGTCACGGGGACCACACCTTCCAGTTCTCGTTTTCTGTGTTCATGGAGTCGTGAAAAGCCCAGGGGTCCCCTTCAGGGAAGTAGACTCTGGCCTCCTCCCGAAGGGGACTTAATTGTGTCCATTAGTAAGTGCAAAGGTGTCTGATCGGGTCACTGAGCCCTGTGGCCTTTCCTTTCATTGTGGGTACGGCTTGAAAAGATACTGTTCACCGAGTGCCTCCTACCCACAGTGCTGGAATAGGCATTTTAAAGCAACATTCTGGTCTCAGTTTTCAACCTGTAATAGTTTAGGAAGTCATAGCATATAGCATAGGGAGCTCTTATGGACATTTTAGAATTTTGTTCATTTTGGAAAAACCACACGCACAAAAAAAAATAACTTCAACAACTTTTTCAGTCTGCATTTAAAAACAATAAAATTTCTCAATTAAAAATTTAAAGCCAGGTTTGCTTGCATGTCATCTGGTAAATTTCCAGCAAGATTATTGAGAAATCTTAATTCAAGATCATGAAAATAAGGCAGTTCCGAGCAATAGTTTCCAGGTAACCAGGCCAACGATGCTGGGTTTTGGTTTAACATGTTAAGAAATATTTAGAACTTGCCACTTATTTCCTACATAGAAAATGGAGATCTAGGGGCTCAACTCTGCAAGGGGTGACAACTGAGCAAATCCAAGCTCCCGAATGCATGAAAGGACAAATTTGCATCTTCTTATCAGTATTGAACTTTTCACTGATGAACAATAAATATATCTATATTTTTAAGACGTGAGTAGTTTGCTTTATTACACTTTGGTTTGGCTAGGAAGCCAAAACACTTGGCTCCTTCCGTGACCCGAAATCCTGTAAAGAAACTAGTCCTTTCTTGGACCTCTTCCCAAGGTATCTGCCCTTACGATGTCCTTTAACCCACAGCAGCAGGGGGCTCGGACAAATCCTTCCCGGCCTTCAGCTTTGCTTCTGCGGCCTCAGGGATACTGTGACCTCGTCTGGTCACCTCTCGCCCGGATTTCCTTACAGCAGCACGGGCAGGATGCTGGACCACAGGACAAAGCTCCCAGCGCACTGCGAGGTCCACAGTCAGCTGTCCTTGGTCACAGCGGTCTGAGCAATTCCTGGCTTCCAAGGAGCAGGCGTGCTGCCCAGCAGCTGGGCTCGGAGAAGGGTGGACCCATGTCAGGACGGGGATTTGGGGTGCGGAAGGTCCACTTCCCCCATAGCAGGCTTGGGAGGCCCTGGCCCTTCCCCAGGGTTCGCCGTCATCCTCCCTCCAGCGTCTGGGTTCGCGCCCCTGGGAGCGCAGGGGCGGGGTGCGGGCTTGTCCCGCGACAGCAAACATCGTTCCCGCGATAGCGGCCGTTGTCCGGGCGCCCGTTGCTAGGGGGGTCGTTGCCAAGGACGCCCATCCGCTGCTGCTGGGCTCCCTGGGCGAGACCCTTCTCGGCGCCATGGATGACCTGCGGGTGCTGTGGATGCGCGACCGTGTATACACGGCTTTCGGCCTCACGGACCCTCATCTCTTTGAGGACCTCATGACCCGCGACGATGGTGAGGCCGAGGACCTCATACTGCACTTCCTTAACCAGGCCAGCGACGAGGAGGCTGCCGCCACGCTCTTCTTCTACCGCAAGATGGTGCCCGAGGAGGTGGAGGTGGAGATTGGTGAGTCCGCGGCTGCCCCTCCTACTACTTTCTCCCCGTCGGGGCCACCGACCTATACTGGCTGACCTCGGCCTCCAGTGCAGGTCGCAGACCGTTATGGTCGCCGGCCCCGACTCCCACAGTCCACTTCGAAAGGCAGCCTCGAGTGAACAGTCAGAGCAAACACTTACTTAGTACTTAGCCTGTCCCAGGTGCAGTTCCAAACGTTCGTATCAGCTCATTAATGGTATGAAGTGGGAAAATGACACTACCCCATTTACACAGGAGCAAGCTGCGGCCCAGAGAGGCTTGAACAACTCACACACTTAGCTCACACAGGCCATTCAGATTCAAGAGTAGGACCCACTGCCCATCAACAGTCCACAAATGCGAGAGAAGCGGCCCTGGGAACGAGGCTTCACCCTCCCTCTCCTTGACAGGGGCAGGGGCAGCAGAGGGTCGGAAGAGCAGTCCTTTCTATCTCCTGAGGCTCTTGACTTGACATTGTAAAGGGATGCTTGAATGAGATTCCAAAAACCACAGCGCATTGGCCCTGGCAGTTCAGCTGGTTGAATTGGATGTGCTCAGTTGGTAGCTCAGCTGGTTGGACGTGCCCAGCTGTTGGTTCCCTCCAGTTGGGGCATAGGCAGAAATCACCAGTGAGTGCAGGCATCCTGTGGGTAACTGCTGTCAGTGTGGTGTGTCTCCTGCCAGATCTTTCCCAAATCAGTCCCACTGTCACTGTATCTGTCTCTTTCTGTATAATGGTATATGTGCAATGCTAATAGAAAGACAGATAGAAAATTCCTAAACTCATCAATAAGGTCATTATATACAGGGTCCAGCACAAATAACGAATTTTTTTTTAAAGATTTTATTTATTTATCTTTAGAGAGGAAGGGAAGGAGAGAAGGAGAGAAACATCAATGTATGGTTGCCTCTTGTGAGTCCCCCGCTGGCAACTGGCCTGCAACCCAGGCACATGCCCTGACTGGGAATCGAACTGCGATCGTGTGGTTCGCAGGCCCACACTCAATCCACTGAGCTACACCAGCCAGGGCATGCTTTTTTAAAATTACAAAATCATAAGCATGTCATTCTGTAACATAACAATATTGCACTCAAGCACACCATGGGACATTTTAGGTGAACTGTTCAAATTAAAATGATAAATTATTATACCCATATTATTACCCTACCAACTACACTCAAGCAGGCCTTCCTTCTGCCAGACCCTATATATGTGTGTGTGTGATATGCATATACATATTCATACACGTATACATATACATACATATGTACACTTTCTGTGGGATAGACATATGAAAATGGGGTTGTTGCTTTAGTGGGTGTGTGCATTTGCAGTGTGAGTAGGTCCTGCCAGTCTGCTCTGCAGAAAGGCCCCGCCAGGCCATGCCCAATGCCAACAGGTGCCTGTGTGGCAGGAGCCTCGCCCCCACTGGACGTGGTCAATCTTTATATTCTTTACTATAGATGAACGGCAGAGGCGCTTTCTTATACTAATTGACATTTCAGTCCTTAGTGGAACTGATCGTCTTTTTAAATACGTTTTGGTCATTAATGTTTCCTCTGGGCTGGTTGTCCGTATGTGATCATTCTTGTGTCCTTCGTCTCCAAGAGAATTTGTGCTAGTCTTCTTCCCTGAGTCAATTAAGGCTGCCTCAGGTATTTCTGTATGACCGCGTTGGTTTACAGACTGACCCCTGTACGTGAAGAGCCAGGAGAGATGGAGAAGGGCGGATGCAAAGGTGAGAGGTTTAATAAGCAAGGGGGCTGCCCTCTGCGGCTCGTTTTGGGCGCCCGCACGACGAGGCCATCTCAGCCCGCCATGATCTTAGTTTATAGGGAGGCCTCCGCACGGCTCAGTCACAGTCACCATCCGGAAGGTCTCAGCCCCAGGTAGTTCTCAGGCTGTGTCCTTGAAAACGCCTCCCGCCGCAGGACAGTGGGTGGAACCTAGGTTACCAGCCGAGTGCAGGGAGGGTGGAGGGCGGCCAACTGCCCCCAGCCAACTTCCGGGTCAACCGGGGTCACTTCCGCTCAGAGGCCTCTAGCGGACTTCTGAGCCGGGCTCTTCCGCCTCACCCGGTCCCTCGGCTCTCTGGGCTCTCACAGAGTGAGGCAGTCATGGTTTTTTTCTTTCTTTCCATGTACGTGGCTGTGAAGAGAGCGACGCTCCTGCCGCGTCTGAGGAGGAAAACAAGGAAGAAGAGGCGGAGCCTCAGCAAGTTGGGGTTGTTGATAAAACTGATAAAACGTCAGGTGTGGTCCTAGGACGTGCTGGGTGGGCGGCAGTGCGGAGGGGCGTGCCCGGGCCCCTGGATCCTTTCCGCTTCTCACCGGGAGGGAGGCGGGGCTTGGTGGGACACATCCTTGAAGGCTGCGCCCCCCCCCCAACCCCGAGAGTTGATTTGATTCCGAAGCCACCCCAACTGCGCACGGAGCCTTTCCAAGTGAGAGCTGAACCGTCCGGGGAAGGGCTCTCTTCTGTGTAATCACTGGACTTGTCCGAAACTCTCAGGGCTGCTGCCCTCCGGGGTTTCCGGATCTGCCCCAGTAACAGCGGGCTTGAGAGATACGTGATCGTTTTTATTTTCATTTCACCCCTCCACAAATTTCAAGTTTCATAGTGGAAAAGGAGTAGATGTTATAGTGTCAGCTGCAGTTCTCGTCGTGTTGATAAATATCCTTTTTAAGTGAAACTCTGGGAAGTCACTGGGTGGACACCCTAATAGAAGACACACACACACACTAAATCTCTGATTGAGGACCGTCAAAACCGCAACACAAATCTCCTAGTTACAATGCGAGTCCAGGCTGTGATAGAGCCATTTATAAATGCAAGGACACCTTTTTGGTGCCACACCCGTTGAGTGAAATGCGCGTCTGGTCTGGTGGAAGAGAACCCAGCTTTCTGACTGGTGCCTCTCGCTCACTGAATAATGTTTTGCAGTTAAGAACTTGCTGTTGAAAGACAGTTCCACAATTCCGTCGTTAATCAGCAGCGTGGCGGGTACAGAAGTGGACAAAGAGAATTTGGAAAACTTGCCTGCCAAGGTTCGCGTGCTTTCGTTTCCTCGTGGGGGAGGGGGGCGATGAGACTTCCCTGCCTTTTGATGTGTAACTGACACAGTTAGGACCAGGGACGCGCCGTGTGGGAGTGGAGATGACAAACTTCTGTGCAGGGGGTCCCGGAGGCTGCCCTTGGGTGCAGTGCTGCGCCACAGTGGCCCCCAGAGCCCGGACAGGCTTCTGGACTCGTGGCTGAGGTTGTTTGGTGGGAGAGCTCGGATCAGAGTCTACGGGGACAAGCAGACTGGGCAGAGCCCACTGGACAACGGTGCGTGCCTCCTGGGGGGAGGACATGGACACAGCCATTGTCCCAGCAGCTCTGTGTGACCACTTGTATGAAGTGTTGCCCATCAGGGAAGCCCACCTGAGCCCTGACGTTCAGGGTTTTCACTGGGGTCAGTCACACAGGCATAAGGTGCCGCGTGTCTGACCTCGGGTCCTCAGTGTCCAGCACCCCAGAGGTCAGACTGCCGAAGTGTGAGTCTGGGCCCTGGGCAGACAGAAAGCAGCGTCACTGGAAATCACTTGGTTAGTGTCCACTGTCTGACAGGAGGACCCGAGTCCCCAGGGACAGAAAGGCTCTCAAGTCAGGCAGGATGTTCCACAGTCTTGGAGGTCATCACCCAGGGGCTGGCCGAGGGCCCAACTGAAAACCTCAGCAGGTGCAGGGTTTGGGCGGCCCAGACCAGCTGAGCTGGCCCTTTCCTGTGCGAATCCCAGGGGTGGGGGTGGGGTTGGGGTTAAAGCTGAGATGCCAGCATTCAGCCTGACCCGTGCTGAATGAGGCCACACCGACCCGCCCTGGGTGTTCGGCTGGCCCCCAAAGCTGGGCCAGGCCTGGGCGGTTGCAGTTTGTGGCCTGGGGAACCGGCTGGGGTGGCTGGTCGAAGTGCAGCTGCCTTGGGAGTCAGCAGAAGTGTCCCGGTGCGGTTGCCGCTAGTGCCTGCTGTGTCACAGCTGTGTCTGCATGGTGGGGAAGTGACTTCGGACCCTGGCACTGAGGGGACGGCTCAGGGGGGTGTTAGGGTGTC